GGAGGCAGTTACTCGTATTCTGCAATATCTCAAACGAACTCCTGGACTTGGACTGTTATATCGAGCTAATGGACATCTTAGAGTAGAAGGTTTCTCAGATGCTGATTGGGCTGGCTCTCCTTCTGATCAAAGATCAACCACTGGTTATTTTACTTTCTTAGGAGGTAATGTTGTCTCGTGGAAAAGTAAGAAGCAACCCGTGGTAGCAAGATCCTGTGCTGAGACTGAGTATAGGGCAATGGCACATACGACAAGTGAGTTGAATTGGCTACTACACTTCCTCCAGGAAATTGGGTTTCCAGTTTAACTTCCTCTACAGTTATTCTGTGACAACCAGACAGCTATCCATATCGCTGTCAATCATGTGTTTCACGAGAGAACCAAGCATATTGAGGTTGATTGTTACTTTATTCGGGACAAGATAGTAACTGGGGAGATTACAACTCGATTTGTGAAATCTGAAGATCAGCTTGCAAATATGTTTACCAAAGCATTGAGTCATACACGTCTTACAGCTATTTGTTCCAAGCTTGGATTATATGATATATATAGTCTAGCTTGAGGGGGAGTATTAAGAATAATAGGGTAGTATATATAAATTGTTAATAGTAAGAGGGTGTATGTGTAATTATTATTATTGTAGGTTAACTATAAATACCAATGATGTATGAGAGTTAGGTTAAGTTTTTAACCTCTCTCTGTGTCTCCCTAAATAGTGTCTCTAATATTATGTTAATCTTCCAAACTTAACAGAAACCAATACCCAAAACGATGCTAAGAAATGAATACAACTCCATAAACCCTCAACCATCTCACATTTCTCGTCAAAACTAATTCATAGGAATTGGATTATATTTCGTTATAGTAGGTGTAGATGTAGGGATTAAGAGTTACTTATCATTTTATTTTTCAAGGACTTAGTTGTCATTTTGATTATTTATTTATTTTAGGGTTTTCTGATCTCTTTATATATATAGGATTTGTAAACTTCTTATATATATAGGGGATACATATTTGTTGTGGGATATTTTTTATTATTATTAATGACTAGTATCGAATATTTTGCTTCCTTCTTAAATTCTCTCTTTTCTCATCCTCTTCTTCCCTTTCTCATCTCTAATTTTTTCCTCATACGATTTACATCAATTTGGTATCAGAGCTAATACAATCTACATCAATTTGGTATCAGAGCTATTACAATCTATATCAATTTAGTATCATAGCTAATACGATCTACATCATTTAATGTCATCTCTAAGTCGACTGTAGCTCAATTATAGCTTAAGCCAGAGACACCCATAACCTTACAAGGTTACATAGGTTGACAAGACCTCCTTACCAGTCTCACAGAGATGTTTGGTCCCTATTCAGATGAGTGACTATTCAGATCATATATGGTGTGATGTCTTACCCATGGATGTCGCTCATGTCTTGTCAGGTCGCCCGTGGCTTTTTGATCTAGATGTGACAAACTATGGGAGAGACAATACCTATGTTTTTAACCACAAGGAAAAAACCATCAAGTTAAAACCTGCAAAACCCTCAAAACGTAATAATTCAAAACATAAGTCATCTTCCCAAATAATTCACAAGAAAGACCTTCACATCTTAACCCATAGGGAATTTAAAAAAGAGAGAAAAGAGTCTGATGTTGTGGTAGTTGTAGTTGTCAAAGAAGTTTCCCAGAATCCTTCGAAATCTACGGATAATCTTTTGCCTGAGGTTGATAGTCTATTAAGAGAGTTCCATGATGTGATCCTTGAGGAACTACCCGATGAGTTGCTATCTATGAGAGATGTTCAGCATGCTATTGACTTGGTTTCAGGGTCTTAATTGTCTAATCTTCCCCATTATCGTATGAACCCATTAAGCGTGTTGAACTTCAAAAGCAAGTAGATGTACTTTTGTAAAAAGTTCTATTCGCCATAGTCTTAGTCCATGTGTTGTCCCTACTTTGTTGACCCCTAAGAAAGATGGCTCTTGGAGAATGTGTATTGATAGTCGTGCCATTAACAAAATTACAGTCAAGTATCATTTTCCTATACCGAGACTTGAAGATATGCTTAACCTTTTGGCCGGTGCAATATGATTCTCCAAAATTGATTTGCACAATGGTTATCATTAAATTCGAATTAGACCAAGAGATGAATAGAAAACCGCCTATAAATCCCAAGATAGACTTTATGAGTGGTTGGTCATGCCTTTTGGATTGTCTAATGCACCAAGCACTTTTACGAGGGTTATAACTCAGATATTGCGTCCTTTTCTAAGAAAATTTGTGGTGGTTTATTTTGATGACATCTTGATCTATAGAAAGTCTAACGAAGAGCACTTGGATCATCTTTGACTGGTTTTGCAGACATTACGTGTGGAAAAATTCTATGCGAACCTTAAGAAGTGCTCCTTTATGCAAACTCAAGTGTTTTTCCTTAGATTTGTTATTTCTGCACATGGTATTGTAGCTAACCCAAAGAAAATTCATGCTATCAGGGATTGACCAGTGCCAAGAACAATTTTGAGGTTCGAAGTTTTCATGGTTTAATCACCTTCTACAGACGATTTATTAAGGGGTTTAGTTCCATTATGGCTCCCATTACAAAGTGCATGAAAAAAAGGGGAGTTTCAATGGACTCTTGTTGCAACTAGAGCCTTTCAAGAAGTTAAGTACAAGATGACAGAGGCACCCGTCCTTCAACACCCAGATTTTTCTAAAGTGTTTGAGGTTGCCTGTGATGCATCTGGTGTAAGGATAGGTAGAATTTTGAGTCAAGACTGTCATCCTATTGCTTGCTTCAGCAAAAAACTCAATGACGATAAACAACGATACTCTATATATGACAAAGAGTTCTACGCTGTTGTACAAGCTCCCTGCCATTGGAGGTATTATCTGTTGTCAAATGAGTTTGTGTTATATTCTGATCATCAGGTATTGAAATACCTTCACTCCCAGAGAAAATTGAGTGTTAGGCATGTTAGGTGGATTGAGTTCCTTCATGAGTATACTTTTGTTCTTCACCACCGAGAAGACATTGAAAACAAACCTGCGGATGCTCTTAGCCGTGTAGTTGTTGTTTTACAGACTATGAGTATTCATGTGATTGACTGTGTCAGGCTTAGAGATGAGTATACCTTTTGTCCTGACTTTGGTTTCATTTTTCAGGATGTTCAGGCTAGTAACCGTCATGAGTATATTGACTTCCTCTTTAGAGATGGTTACTTGTTTAGAGGGTCGAGCTTATGTATTCCCCGTACTTCACTTAGAAATTTCCTGATTTGGAAATTATATGCGGGAGGTCTGGCAGGCCACTTTGGTAGGGATAAGACATTTACACTTGTTGAGGATAGGTTTTATTGGCCCACTTTGAGGCGTGATATTATTAGAATAGTGTCATAGTGTCGCACTTGTCAGTTAGCAAGGCTAGGAAACAAAACACTGGGTTGTATACACCATTTTCAATTCCACATACACTATGGAGAGAGCTTAGTCTGGACTTTGTGTTAGGATTGCCTAAAACAACCTGTAATCATGATTCCATTCTAGTTATAGTGGATCAATTTTCTAAGATGACCCATTTCATTTCTTGCACTAAGTCTATTGATGCCTCATACGTAGCGAAGTTATTTTTTTAAGAGGTCATCCGACTACATTGGTTGCCTATTTTCATTGTGTCTGATAGGGATGTCAAGTTTGTGAGTTATTTTTGGAAGACACTTTGAAAACTCTTTGGGAATAGTCTTAAGTTTTTTTCTGCCTTTCATCCCCAAATTGATGGTCAAACTGAGGTTGTCAATCATAACTTAGGAGATTTACTTAGGTGTCTAGTGGATGAGAAGACAAGAAATTGGGATTTGTTGGTGCCTACTACTGAATTTGCCTATAACAACTCCATTAACAGGTCGACTGGTAGATTCCCTTTCGAGATTGTTTATAGCCATTCCCCTAGACAGCCTATTGACTTATTACCTTTACCTCCTGATTTCCGCCCTTCGCACTCAGCCGAAGCTTTTGCCCAGCATATCCATGACTTGCATGCCAACATAAGACAGAAAATTATATTAAGTAATGAGAATTATAAATTGACTGCAGATATTCATCGTTGGAATAAAGAATTTATTATGGGAGACTACGTCATGGTTCGTGTGCTTCCTGAACATTACTCTAAAAATTCTTTCAAAAAGTTATATGCTCGAGCCACTGGCCCTTTTCGTATTCTTCGTAAGTTTGGACCTAATACATATCACCTTGACTTACCTTCGAGTATGAGTATTAGTTCTATTTTCAATATGGAAGACTTGTTTCCTTATCATGGTACTTTTGAACCTCCCATGTTGCCAGCATGTGTTCCTATAAATGGAGTTACTTCATCATCAGCATCACCTACAGTTCCTGTTCTTCCACCGTTTCCACCACAGTTACATGACCAGATTGTAAATGTACTTGATGATCAAATTGTGGCTCCTCAGATGGAGGATATCGTCATTATCTTGTTCGGTGGAGAGATCGTCCAGAAACTGATGCTTCATGGATTACTGAAGAGGAGTTTCGTCGGCTTGACCCTGATCTTCTAAAGTATTATCATGATCGTATATCTACAAAGGCGAATTCTTTTCAGTCGGAAAAAAATAATAGGAATCGAATTATATTTCGTTATAGTAAGCGCAGACATAGGGATTAAAAGTTATTTGTCATTTTATTTTTCAGGGATTTAGTTGTTATTTTGATTATTTATTTATTTTAGGGTTTGTAATCTCCTATATATATAGGATTTGTGAACTTCTTATATACATAGGAGATACATATTTGTTGTGGAATATTTTTTATTATTATTAACGACTGATATTGAATATTTTGCTTCCTTCTCAAATTCTCTCTATTTTCTCATCCCTTTCTTCTTCCCTTTCTCATCCTAATTCTTCCCTAATACGATCTACATCAATTTGGTATTAGAGCTAATACGATCTACATCAATTTGGTATCAGAGCTAATACGATATACATCACTAATTGTGTTTCTCTCCATCTAAATCAAATAAATAATAGAGATTTTTAGCCATGCCCTGCCCACATATTATTAAAAGAGTTGGACTTTGTTGGGAGAATTTATTTTCCCCAAATAATAGACATCACCGTTGTTGCATCTCCAATTTTCTTGAATTTATTTGCATATCAAAAAAATTTGGAGTCACACTGAATGTCTGTTCCATAATGAACAGATAATTCGGAAGGAATTTTAATGAGAAATTCATTAATACTAATGAAAAGACATGGGCTCATTATTTACAACAAACCAACTAAGGAAAGGAATTAAGTGTACCTGACCAGCACCCACGTCAACTATAGTATTAGCTCCAATATTCCTTGCAATCGAATTGACAACGGCAGCAAGAGCTATTATCTGATTGAGGAGATAGTTTTCTGAATATCTTCGTTCAAAAAGCGAAGTTATAGAGATAAAAATAACATTTCTAGATTCCAAAAACAAATTTTATCTGAATACAAATATGAAACCCACACTTTGTGAATACTTTCCTGAGGTTTCATGTGTTTCAAAGCAATATGGCTCTAGTATATTATTCAAGAAAAATAAAAAGATTCTATATATTCTATTTGTCTCAATCTGATCTTACGTGAAAATAATTTATCACTACATTCTACTTACCTTTTATCATCTCTTAAATAAATCTATAATTTTTCACCAAATACAAATTCAGACATGGCTAACTTTGGTAATTCCACCACGACAAACACTGCTTTGTGAATTTCATTTTATTTTCTTGGCTGCTAGCAAATCGTTCTCAGACCAAATAAATAACTCCAAAAAATAGAATGTTTAAAATAATATCAATGGGGGAAAAGGAACAGGACAAATGAAGAAGCAATACAAGATGGAAACAAACCAAAGGTTTCATGACATACTTCGTGTTTTTTCTTCAGATTCATGCCCTGTGTAAGAACACTATTGAGTGAATCGATGTGTAGATCGGGTAATACCTGAAAGTAAACAAAAAAGGTTGCCTACACTTAACGTCTAATACCCAAGAATAAGAGATGTCAATTTGGAAAGAATAATAAAACAATTTAACAAAGGACACTCAAAAAACAGACGTCATAACAAAGTGCCTGGTTTTACTAAGAACCCTGCATGTTTCTTGACTATGAAATACGAACACTCTTGAGAAAGTAACGTATCCGTGACATTCTTCGGACACATGTCCGATACTCTTTTATCCGTGTCTATAATAAAATGAAAAAATTTTAATTTCGAACAAATGTCCGACACTTCTTTGGTGACATGCCTGAGTCTTCTTTAGAACGTGTCTGACACTTACTTTAAAATGCGTCTACTGTTTACTACTAAACAATAAATATGTGTTGAAATGTAATCAACAAAGTTTAAAATTTTGAGAACATATAATTACTAATACTAGACATGTTAAAATTATACTCCAAATATAATAATAAAAACAAAAGATGCATAAATGTTTAAAAAAAGAATTGAGAAAATGATAGCAAGTATTTAAATGATATATTAGGTACACATTGCCTACAAGATCCTTCTTGTAATGTTAGTATAGGAACTATGCAGTGAGTAAACAAATGGGCCCATAGCTATACCCCTGTGCTAGAAGGTAGAATCAAATCAACAAAAGCGAGAAACTGAGTAATCTAACAACAACAAACTCTTCAAATGAATTCAAGAGGCCGCCATGATAAATTATTTTTTTACCAAAAGATGAAAACAAGAATTCATAACCTCAATAATTGGACAAACATTTACAAACCTTCTGCAGATCTGCCTGCTCCCGAGGAAGTGTAAGAGACTTTAAAGTAAGGATAAATTCCTTAAGTGAAGCAGGCCAGTGATCCTAGCACCATGTACGATTAACAGTCAACAATTAAGCTAATATACAATGCAAACAAAAATCAAAAAATATACAACCTCATGGCAATCAACTTATTTCTGCATAGAAAAGGAGATGACCGGAAGCAACACCTGGGTAAAAACTTTTCTATACTTAATTTGATGGTTTAATTCATCCTTGCACTTTCTTCCAGATGAAACGTATCCAATGTATACACTTGCCCAACCAAAGAAGAATGGCCACCATTAACATGGCAATTCACATTCCCAATTGACACAACATAAAGAATACCATACCAATTTTGCAATTAGTATCATTTCAAGACTCATGAGCACAAATGCACACAACCGTAGATGAGTAGGCAAAAGAAGTATATACGAAAAAAGGAAAGAAACAGGATTAACCTGGACCACACCAGATGGAATTAAGAGAAGACTTTCAACGGATGCATTACGAAGGCAATCAATCCATTCTTTATCAACAGCTTCCCACAGCCTATCCTGTAAGAATTTGGGTATTAACAGAGAGACGCGCCAAGTAGAGTAGAGTGAAAAGCGGAATGAGCTACTACCTTGAAGAAATTGACGACGTGTGCTTCTAAGAAGACACTGTAAGACTTGAGGAAGTCGACTATTGCGTGAATCCATTCTAGGGTTTCACTCGCCGTCCGGCACGAGTACTTACAATCGCTGGCCATGTCAGAGATGAGGCTCCGACGATCTTTCGCTACCGATGGAAAGAGAAAAGTCCACTGAAGTTATTTATCGTGGCACAGCAATTAGGCCCAAAAATTGGAGCCCACTATAAGGCTTTTACCCAGACGTTTAGAGTCCAATGTTTAAAAAAGTATCCGATTTTCTGTTTTCCGTTTTAGCCCCCACTTGCGAGATGAAACTACTCTGCTGCCCTTCATTTGAAGCCACTTGTGTAACGTGTTGTCTCAACGTCTTCCTAACGGGGGGTTGGTAGGATTATGATTGCTCTCTCAACCGCGTCAAATAAGACAGACTTGTATTAAACACTAACGAATTCGTTTAAAAAAATATTATATTCACAGTAAATTCTTCTTCTTTTTTTTTTTTTTTTTACAGTAAATTTTTCTATTAATTTATATTTAATGAATCATATCGCATATAGATTATGTATAAATAGTGTTATAAAAAAGATGTATATAATTAGCTTAAATTAAATTGTATGAAGCATAACTTATGTAATAAACAGAATTTAAGTTATATTTATATATTATTGTACATATAAATTGATGGTACTTTAAACACGCATATGGTTGAGCTCGATAACACAAATTATGATCTCTTAGGTTGGGAGCTCAGTTCATTTAAGTTGCTCATAGATCTCAGTTTCAGACTTCGAGCTCCCTGCATTTACATCTCAGGAAAGACAGTTGGTCCCCACCAAGCATCACCACGATAACGGCAGTCGGTTATTCAGGCAAAAGGTTTGTAAACTGCCCCAACACTCACCGCAGTCGTTACACAATACAAGCAACTGTTACGAGAAAGAAGCAAGGATCTCGACATAAATCAAACTAGGCCCAGAGGTAACTATAAATAAGAGACAAAGCCCTCGATAGAATCAAGTAATTGCAGCCTCACTCATACACTCTCTGTAAAACCCCCATTTATTAATATATTTTTCAGGAGCAAGAAACTTTTTTAAGAGTGGATTAGTCGAGCTCCCGAGCTTGTGAACCAGTATACATATATTTGTGTGATAATCACATTCTTTCGATTCTATTCACAAGAGCCTTGGAGCTCAAACTAAACTATTCAAAGCATCGTGTATTTATCATTTTGCTCCCTCGTGTTATGAACATCATCAAAAGCAATCTAAACCAATTTGTATATTGTTACATACAAAATAATCTAAACAGAATATATAGTAAGCAAAAATAATAAATTCACAGGGACACAAATCTACACAAACAATAAGTGGCGTTGACTTCAGCCAACATACCATACTCGTTCTTCATTGACTAAAGGGAATCATAAGCCTCGAAGGCGTCCTTCCGTGCTTGAACCAAGCTAGTAGCTTTAAGCTTAAGATCATCCTTAGCCTTTTTAGCCTCAGCCTTTAGACCTTTATTCGCTGAAGGTAGCTCTTCAACTCGAACCTTCAGGTCATGAACCTGGCCCTTGAGGTCCTCGTTGGTAAAGGTCAAATCAAGAACTTGAGGTCAAAAACCTTTGAAGATTTATGAGATATCTCAGTAGTGTTCTCCAAAGTTCGAACTCGACTTACAAAGGCACTCACATGAATGCCTAGCTAAGAGAAGCAAAAGAAAAAGCTGAGGTCAAAAAATAAAAAAAAAAGACTATCTACTCAAAACAAAAGTAAGAACTTGGGGGAATTCGAACTTACTAAAGTTGCTTCATACAAAGCGATGGTAGCAGAGATGGTCAAAAGGACCATCAAGACTTCTTGAATGTCTGACTCAGGGATGATTGAGGCAATGAACTTGACAGTAAGGTTCACGTTCCTAATGACCGAACCCTTTCCTTTCGTTGCCTTTCCTAACAAACTTTCCCGCAAGCAAACAAGGAGCCTGCTCGATAGGCCGAGAACGAAAAGGCTCTTGTAGGAGAAGAGTTATGACTTCAAGATCCCCAACAACCTCTGTTGATGAAGGAGAATATAAGGTCCCAACTTGTCCAGAGGACCCCACGAAGGGAGGAGAAGACATCGTTGGGGTTATCAGAGAAAGAGAAATCCCTTGAGAAGTGGAAACCATCAAAGTTTGTACCGATGAAGAAGTCTTCTGAGAAGCCGGTGGAGGCAAAGAAACTGTCAAGAAAGGGGGAGGAGAAGATGAACTCACCCTTGACACTTTCTGAGTAGAGTCTGGATTTTCCCCAGAGCCAACCTCGACCTTGCGTTTTCCCCCAAATTTGTACTTCCTAAGGTGGGCAATCTTAGCCCTCATAGTTTCAGCATCTGGAGCCATCAAACTTCAACCTGAGGAATCAGAGTAAGCTGATATATATATATATATAGATAAAAGGAGAAAAAATTATAAATGAAGGAGAAAAAGTATTACCAATAGGATTCTTAATGCCAACCACAGATATAGGAATAGATGTCTCAACTCTCACCTTGAGGGAACTAAATTCGAACTGAGTAAGCATCGCAGGCCTAAGGAGCTTAGAATATTTATCTGGTTCACAATTCTCCAAGCTCAACAAAACTATCATGTCCTCAGCGTTAAGGTCGGGTCGAATACTTAAAAGTAGTAACAGAGACAAGATTAGCAGAATAAAATACCAGACTGTAAGGCTAGACACAGCCCTCTAAGGTAAAACTTACCCAAATTATTAGGGCAGACCAAACCTGAGGTACAAGGAAGTGTGCCAGCTACATCTCTGAGATTATATTCCCATTCTCTCCCAGACATAAAGAAGAAGAGCTTTTTCCACCCCTTGTAGAAGCTCGGAAGGTCAGTGATTAAAACTCAGGTCTTTACCCATTTAGCAATATATAGGAAGCCATCAGAAGGGGTAACCTTGATATTGAAGAACTTCATGAGTAAGGGTACCATGGGGACACCAAACTCGTTCTTCTTGAAGAAAATCAAAAATTCTGCCAGAATACCCTAGAAATTGGGGGAAAACTGAGTAGGGGCAGACATTGAAATGTTGAAGAACACTCTTGAGGAAGGAATGCGTAGGAAACCAAAGACCATTCTCAAAAGGAGCTACAAAGAAACAAACTTTTTTTGGGACCTTGGAGTCATACCGAATGTCCACATTGGGAGACTAATACTGCATGCCCTTTCGAAAATCAAATTGAGCGGAAAGAACACTCAGGAAGGGAGGGGTAACCTCGCTAAGCCCCACGATGTCTGAGACTCTAAAGGCAACCTCTATATCCCCAGCACTTCCGAAAATCTTAACACCGCTCACCTTGGATTTTTCTTAGATCTCAGAGCAGAAGGGGATAAAGGAATAGGGACCTCTATTTCTTCCTCAGCATCAACAGAATTGACACTGAAAAAATTATCTATCTCATCACCCACATCCCTCAGGTTATCCTCTTCTAGCTCAGGAGACCTGTCGCCCATGGCAAGAGAGACGGACGAAGTAGTGGCTTCAGAGGAAACATACATGGTTGAATAAGAGAAAGGAAGATTGAAAGAGGTATAAAGGGAGAGAACCCGAGTAAGGCAATCCCTAAGAGCCAAAGGGTCAAGGCACTAGCAACCAAAAAGAAAAATTATAGCAGTAGAATAAGAGTCCAAGAAAAGAGGAAGGAATGATAAGGAATGACCTCGATTCTTAAAATAAGAAAAGCGAAAAGTCCATAAGTTAAACTACCACATCGAATTCGAGGGATCCAGAACGAATGAAAGCTTAAAAAGAAGGAAAAGAGCAAAGCAAATGACGTACCTAGCTAAAAACGATTGATAAATCAAGAACCTAAGATAAAATCCAAGGAATTAATTAAGACGGCCATGCAGAACTTTCGGAGTGAATTTGGGAAATTTTTTGCAAAACCCTAGATCATCAGCGAATTGGGAAAGATGAAATCGAGAGAGAAAGGAAAGAGAGAAAGGAAAGAGAGAAAATGAAGCGAGTTCAAAGAAAATAAAAGAGGCGATTTTATCTGATGTTGTATTTAAAGCTAAGCATACGGACAGACACGTGAAACCTTAAGCTAAGGGACATGCATGAGAAACGAGGAGGAAATGAATGCACGATCGCCATAACAATCAAAAAATGTCCCATTATGCGCATCTCCAGGTCATCCTAGGGCAACCTCACTCACCCAACTCATACTACCCTGCCTGACTAGGGACTGGGGGACAACTGACAGTACCTCAAATACGCATATAGTTGAGCTCGGTAACACAAGTCATGATCTTTTCGGTCGGGAGCCCAGTTTATCTAAGTTGCCCATAGACCTTGATTTCAGAACTCGAGCTCCCTACATCTACATCTCAGGAAAAGACAGCATAAAAAATAATTGGCCTCCACCAAGCATCACCACGATAACAACAGTTGCTTATCCAGGTAAAAGGTTTGTAACTACCCTAACATTCACCGCAGTTGTTGCACAATACAAACAACCATTATGAGAAAGAAGCAAGGATCTTACCATAAATCAGGCTAGGCCCAAAAACAACTATAAATAAGAGGCAAAACCCTCGACAGAAATAAGCAATTGCAACTTCACTCATATACTTTCTGTAAAATCGTAATTATTAATATATTCCTCATGAGCAAGAGACTCTTTTGAGAGTAGATTAGCCGAGCTCCCGAACTGGTGAACAACTATATATCTTCTGTGTGATAATCTTATTCCCTTAATCCTATTCACAAGAGCCTTGGAACTTAGACTGAACTATTCAGAGCATCGTGTATTTATCATTCTACTCCATCGTGTTACGAACATCATCATAAGCAATCTAAGCCAGTTTGTATACTATTACATACAAACTAATTTAAAAAGAATGTATAATAAGCAAAAACAATGCACTCACAGTGACGCAAATCTGCACAAACAATAAAAGAAGAAAATCAGAATATTCAATTTGAGTATTGTGAAACACAATCCTCTTAATACATATTTGTTTTCTCTCGGTACTCATGGTTGATAAGTAACTATCTCTCAAGATAGAACAGATTTTACATTCTTAAAGAAACAACACTTGAATTTTCAAAACTTTAACGAAACTTGTGTTTATACTTGAACCGAACCAAAAGAATAATACAACAATATGCACAGAGAGAGAAGAAATTTTGAAACTGAAATCCAAATTTGGATAGATTGAAGTAGTAATGGGACAGTCTATTTATAGACCCTTGGTGATTGTTCAGATAACCTGAAGAGGTATGAGATGTCATTGTTCGAATTAAAGAGACATGTTCTTTAATCTGAATAGGCAAAAGGCACCTCTGGAGTGAACATCCTTTATGCAATGAACCAGACCTAATTTGGCGCCAAATTCAAAATAACGGATAGAAAATTTAAAAATTCGGTTGGATTTAAATTTCAATTAAGATTTTAATTATGATCTGCATTCAGATTCAATTGGTTTGATCCATAACTTGCATTGCTCCAAAAAAAATTTTGTCCAAAAAGAATATATCTTTTTGGCCCAAGCCCAAATTCAAACCCAAACCCAACCCAGCCAGGTATCGTGCATGTGTGATAACCAACTTGGAGTATATTAATTCATCAAAGTGTTGGTCTTATTCCAATGTGGGACAATCCTTATTTCATTACACCTATATTAGTTTATTTCATCACTTCAAATGAGTCACTTTGAGACATAATTTCTCATTCAATATTTAATGGTTTAAACAAAATAAATATATGACATTCATCTTCTTGCGGAGGAGAACACATTTAAACTTGATCCCACTAATTTGAGGTATGAGTTCTATTTTCATTTAAACCTTAAGTTACTCAAATAATATTGTTTAAAACTATTTTTTTCAACAATCCCCCATACGAATGAAAATTCAATATACGATGATGCAGATACTAGTTCAAGTATAGCATCTGGATAAATAGCTAGTGACCTTAAACTTTTCGTAGTGAAAAACTATCGGATTTATTTGGCTAATCAACGGACATGATGTCATTGAACTATCAGCCATTTGTGTAAACCAAGACAATAGAATTCACACAGTTTTTGTTCGGACACAATTAGTTCTCACGTTTGTGTTTATTTTGACATTGAACACCACTTGATTTCATGAGTAATTTTAGAGGAATGAGCCCACAATTCTCATAGAAGCCGTCATTTCTTTATTCACATAGGTGATTTTTGATTAAAAGTATCATGCTATACCCCATTTAGACATTTTCAAGTCACAGAATATCATTAAAAACGTAACTTACCTTGTTTCTCGTGGGTAGATATGCACTGTCTCATTATAGGAATAGAAAGGAGTTTAAAAAATCTCCTCAGTACGTACTGAGTTATACATAATTTGATTATCCTTTTAAACTTAGATCTTAAAATTTTCAGTCAATTAAAATCCAAAACCACTACTACGCCCTTTTTTTTTACTACTGTGCCTTTACACCCTTATAAACAACGTATGATGTAAACGTTCTAAAATTCATGTCTAGCCCCTCCGATTCCATTATGTATTATAGGGTATCAATTGTGAAGTGTCATGTCATTTCGTATTAGATTTGTGTTAATAGTCATGTCAATAAAAAAATATAACAACTTATATAATTATTTAAAAATTTATAAAATACTTATTTTATATCTATAATATTCTTTAATCGTGTTATTTGTGTTTTATTAAAGATTAAATTCTATCCACCACTACTCAAGAGGCTAAGACCAATGAGAATGCTAAACCAATGGGTGAGTACCGCAAGTTTTTTACTCTTGAATAGTGGTGAGTAGAATCTGATCTTTAATATGCCTAACTTTAATTTAACTAATTTATTACTTGGGTTAATTAATCATATTATTTTTAAATTTTGTGTCGAGTTAGATTTGTATTTAATGGGTAAAATTGACACTCCTAGTTCATGTATATTCATATATAAAAGAAATTTCAGTTTAAGTATGTGTATAATTTGTTAGAATTCAAGTGAATTATATCTTTGAATGGGATCAAATTTTTTTATAAAAGTCTTTTAAGAGAATCATATGGATTATCCTCCACTGTACAACAACAATAACTTATATCCTAAAACTTGATATTAAGGGTGAGGAGCAGACTATACCTCCACCATATAACAACAACTCAATGTATGAGATTCCTTAAATAAGATAATTACTGATCATCTCCACATCATTTTTTTTTTTTTTTTTTTTGATTAAAACAAGACCATAAGATATTATATTAAGTAGGAAAGTTTAAATTACACTCAGATAAAAGAGAAGCCTTTAACTCGAGAGGGGAGGGGAGCCTAACCAACCCAATCCAACGGAAGTGAATTGGTTAACCAATCAGGACATCATTCAGTTGTGCTGAACTATGACAAGAATTACAAAAATAAGCGTTTAGGAGGGGGGCCGAGGAAGCTGGTAAGACGGCGGGTCAAAACACTCATCATATTAATATTCAAAAGCCAGTGGGGGAGCGAATGCGATAAACAATTAAACGCTTAAATCTGGTGGATCCGACGGTAAGGGAAAGGGTTTACTGGTTTAGAGAGAGAGAGAGAGAAGGAGCCGAGATACGCACACTCTTCCCAAGATTCAAAAACCGCATCACCGGTCCAACGTCAAGTTGGGAATAGCACCCCCATACTAACGTCCTTTATTGGCATGCGGGGAGTGAATTGGACAAATACCTCTACCTCTACCAATGTCTCCCAATTCCCATCCCAGACATATCTGGTAGCTGGGATTTCTCTCTCTCTCTCTCACACACATACACTTTAGGGGCCACCTGGGAAGCCAGCATCAGTTTGTACTGGAAAGTATGTGCAACCAGCCTGCTTTAGTTTTACACTTTTCATTGTCCCTCCTGAACTATAATAACCACATTTCAGTGAACATCTTGAATAAAGTAAGGTACTACTGTCAAAACAATTTAACGGAAAAGGTAAATTAACAAAAAAAAAAAAAACGTATGATTCTTAAATCTATATATAAGAATATCTCTTCATTTTCAATTATCTTCCCTTGATTTACTTACTATAGATTGGGTTTGCATAATAATAAAATAGGTTTATAATAGATAGTTGTTTAACACATCCATTCATTTCATATCCCCCATCAATCAAACAAAGGTTAAAGCATTTGCATATCCCACCAAACAGACTGGTGAGAGGTCATCACATCCAAATATTATCAAGAATCTCGTGGATGTATTAAATAATGCATGCTAACATTGTTTCATGGACCCATCTAGGAGACCGATGCCATGCCAAAGTCAAAAACAGTAAAATATGCTATGCTATACTCACTTCAATTCACACACACACACACACGCATTAATAACACAAATATTATTTTGTTTTGGTACCATATTTTTATTTTTTAATTAATAAAAATATATTATGTGTAATATTTTTATATATTTTATTCAATATAAATCATTCAATCCAAAATTAATTACACATAGATTCTGAAACGGTGCTGACATTGATATCATAACTCTATCCATGAAATGTATATATATTATTATTGAAAAGGAAAGGTGACATGCAAAAGGCAAACAATCAATACAGCTGTGTGGCCTGAGAATCTGTTTAAATCTTTGGCATTTTCATTATTTCCAAATTAAAAAGATAAAATATCTATATAATAAGAGATTTAAGAATTTAAATCTTACTCTGTATACATTTTTTTTACTGATTTTTATTGCATTACTAATTTTTATTATAAGTTAATTTATTTAAATCAATTTTTATATTCAATAGTGCTAAGTCCCATGTTACACACCAAACCAAAAAATGCTAACCAAAGGGCAACGAGATTCCGAACAACCCCCGTCACAGTACAACTAGACCCTCATCTCAAACGGAAAGAACCTTTCAAAATGCAGAAGAAACAGAGATTCCATAACACTTTGAGCTTAAACAAGATAAACAAGAATGAAAGAAAGAAAATACACAAAATCAGCTTTCAACAACTAGAACTAGAGTAGCTAACAAGAATAAAACAAGAAGAATCGAATGAAGATAGTTTTTTTCTCTTATGTGCATACAAACCTAAAATCTGCAGTAAGAAATGAAACCCACCAACGATGTCAAGCGGTATTGTATTGCCCACAGCAAAACTACAAAAAGCCATTACAGTAACAACTCCGAATCAAAAAATTGTAAAGCAATGCCACAGGTGAGTATTACCAGCTATACTCTCATTGATTGAACGTATCAGGTTCGCTCCGTCCGGTTCTTGCTGCTACTTTGTTGACTTTTGTTTCCACCTCCATTACAGCCACTATTACCACCAGTTTCCCTCTTTTGTGTTGAAGAAAACAACGGGAACCCAAACACCCCAGACTTGGAAGACCCTCTAAGTGAACAAACCGGAACGTTGAGAACCGGAGTTACACGAACGTTAGCAGAATATGACCTCTCCATTCCCCCGTGTTTGAATCTGGCCCCGCCGTTAAAGCTGCTTGGACTGCTTGAGCTACGCTCTAAGCTATGAAAGACAATCTTCCCCGAAGAGTTCATACGTGGACTATCAAGAGAGACTCCAAGGCCCGGAGTCGTTGGATCCGGTGCTCGGCGCATTGGGCTCCGGCCAGTCTTTGTACCCACCGGATTCTCGGAGGATAACGCCCTTGGTTTGACGATTCGAACCCTGTTGGGGTTAGACTTCGAATTAGTATTTCGAGTGAGGGAGATTGGGTTAACGTTCAAACTTGGCTTTTCAGAGTCGAGCGAAAGCCTTGGAAGGTCATCGTGATCATGACCGGACGATGAGGAAGAAAGTGACAAACGAGTCAACATTGAAATGCACTCGCTATCTGCGTCCTTCAACAACGGAAGGCTCAGAGATGAGTCTATAGATGAGTTTAAAGATTTTGAGCTACGATGAAGAAATAGCTTCATAGATTTAGACGACGCTGTTCTGTGATTATCTTGCTGGGTACAACTGTTTAAGTAGAGTTTTTTCAAGCCTAGAAGCTCTTTCCAGCGACTGGAACACCTCGGAGCTTTTGGAGAGAACATGTACGGATCCGCACAGGAAATCTCACTTCTCCGGCGAGTTTTCGGCGTATCAAGCGATCTCACCTCCAACGAGGCTATTGTAGATGTCATCGCTGGTCGGATCATAGAGAGTTGGAGGGGAACCAGTTTTCCGTCGGAGAAGAGCTCGTCGGCGGGTTGCATCGTAACCGGATTTTCCAGTCGGAACTCGAAATCTCCGATGTCACTACCGGAAACTTCTGGATCTGATTCTTCTGCCTGATCTGCCCGGTCCTTTTCAGCCTGAACCGGTGCCTTAGGTTTCGTTCCTGCAATCATTGATGCATCTTCATCAGGAAATTCTCTGCTAAGAGAGATTGGAGGTCGGAGCCATCCGTATGACGGGCAGGTCGCCGGAGAAAACTCAAGAAAGTTTTCCGGTGACTTCCCTATATGGTTTACGCAAGCTGATGCCATTTCCGTGAATCATGCAAGCAAAACAATAATGATACGGCGTGAAATCACCGATCTATATCTATATACCATACAAATTGCGAAAATGACACCGTACAGCACTGGGAATCAACATCAATGGAAAATGCCAAGCACAGTGAGATCTACGGAGAGGGAGAGAGTAGGGAAGATTGATTGTTCCTGCTTGACTAGGGTTTGGGGGTGCAATGTGTACAGTGTGAGATGGAATAGTGTGTGGCCCAGTGGCCTAATATAGGGTGGATATAAATATAGTATAGGGTAGCAACGATGTTACAGTGTTGTTTGGCGCGGGGTGGTGGTGGTGGTGTGTGCGTAGTCCAAAAGCTGGATTGGTTTTTGAGATGTGGATGGTGCTTGGAAGTATCTGGTGAGAACAGATCAAATAATAAAATAAATAAAAGCTGTCTTCTTATCCCAATAAGAGGTGTGAAAAACTTTTTATTAATTATTATTATTTACTATTTTAAGTAAAATAAATCTCAAATGAAAGATCTATTAATGATGATAATAAAAAAAAAAATAGATGGGGCTAAAACTAAATACTAATGACTAGATAATTTTAGATTTTTTTTATTTAATGGTCAAAAGATTTCAACTTAAATGGATTAAGTCTATTAATTTAGCCGTGAAATTAAAACAACTTAAATTTTTTTTTATTTAAAAAAAAAAAAATTAACAGTAAAACTAAACTTAATAAAAAAAACTTAGTCTTAACCCTCTAAAAAAAGTTAAGTTTAAACTTACTATCATAATTTTTAATTATTCTTTCTTTTTATTACTATTATCAAATTCAAATATGGTAATAAAAGCCATATTACCATAATTTTTTAAAAAATAAAAAAGCCTTATTTATCGTTCCGCTTTAGGCTCTAAAATGTCTTGGACCGCGCCTTGAGCTTAGATGTAATTTATCCATTTAGTTTTAAAAGATAAAATGACATCAATTAATTTCAGGTACACAAATTAAGATTTTTATCTTTGAATATACAAATTAAAATTTCAGAGATTTTTTAGAGTGTAATTTATAATTAACCAAAAAAAAAAAAGGGTACGGGTTATTTCTAGTATATTAAATGACATGAGCATCCCCCGAAACTCGAAGGCGGGGATATGGTCGGGAAGCAAAAGCGTGATTAAAAGAATAAAGAGATCAGCGTGCAGGAACAGGGAAAAAGATTGTGGCTGCTGGGATTCGAGCCCAGGTCTCCACGGCCACAACGTGGAATTCTTACCACTAAACTACAGCCACCTTACCTTCGTCAGTTGAATGGTTAGTTAATTATTTATAATTAAATTCCATTGACATTAACTAAGAACATAAATAATAAATTGATGAGTAATGATTGATGAACTTAAAAACTAGACTTAATAATCTCAACTATTGATTTTATTGTGGATCCCAACAGTTATTGGAACCCACTACGTTGAAATTATCAAGTCTAATATATTTTTTAAGTCTATGTAACATTACTCTATATTGATATATTGCTAACTTAACACTTCAAAAACTCACGGAAGCCACAGGCCAGTTCTCTCTCTCTCTCTATCTAATTGTCTCGCAGCCACGCACCCAAATTGATTTCAGTTCATATCTCCCATCCTTGTCCTTTCCCTCATCTAAATTTACTCTTTCTTAATTCTGTCATAAATTATATTTTACCCTAAAATTTAACTTTAAAAACAACGAAACTTACAATTTATACTTACAGTTTGGCATGAACCAGTAAAACGTCGTTTCTTGGCCAGTATACAGCTAATTCTTATGACCGTTGTCGTGTTATAGCACAGCTACATCTACAGCTACCACAAACTATGTGCAAGAACACTCTTAATTGCATAGCCCAAAAGCTGGAGTCTGGTTTTTTATTTTCTCCAAGGATGGTGCTTGGTAGTGAGAACAGATCAAATAATAAATAAAAGTTCTCTTATCCCAATAAGAGGTTTGATAAATTTCAATCTGATCCACACAAACACAAGTATGATTTACTATTTCAAAGTATATAGCTTTTGATCCAAACGAGTAACCAACCCTCTTCTATGCCCGACCCTTTCAAACTATAGACTATATATATATACATATAACAACACTTTTCGCTGCAAATACAGAAAAATTGAATCATGTGCAATTCATAAATTTCCTTCAAGGCAACAAGGAAAGGTAACATGATCTTCCCAAAACTAGGCATTTGAGAGAGAAAACAACACATCTGCAGTTGAACATTCATAACCCATGAAAATATTACCCACCGTGGTTTTCCCCCCACTAAATATCAACTTACGGAACCGACTCGTTCACGCCAAAGGCAGCTCCTTGACAGCTATGATTGTCAAGATCTTTCCAGTCATCCAAAAGTTGCTCTTTGTATCCACAGCACTGCTCCAAAGTAGTAAGAAAGTTAAATAACTGAAAAGAGAATTGGTCAATTCATAATCAGCCAATCAATAGGTATAAACACAGTGGACCTTTTTTCTCCCTACTAATGTATTGTCCTCATCTACAATATATGCATGAGGCTCACATTGATGAAACATAAGTGACAGCTCAATTCCTAAGATACTTCACATGAACCCCAGCCCAACTACTAGGAACGCATGCAATTTTAAAAAACTAGAAAATGGGGGCTGTTCCTTCTTCATTTGTCTCAGAAAATTCTAGAAGTACAAGTCAATCTCTGTCCTACCTCAGTTCCTTTCTCTTGAGAAATAATGGTTACTTAGGGATTTTGTATTAGAACCAGGCTGATATTCACATGGACAAGGCCCAGCTGCATCGCTTTCACTACCTGGTTCAAGTGATAACCAGCTAAATGTTATTTTGGACACACTGCTTTCCTATTTCAATTTAACACACAGACCACCTTCATCAAAACCAACTCAACTTAACTCACTCAACAAAGTCTTATCCCTGTTACCGGGGATCTGCTAATGAATTTTGTTCCCCATCAAGAGTTATATGTTCTACTAAACCACAATAAATTTTTAATCTAGTCCGTGACTGAAATGCACCATCTAAGGAGTTCAAGGATGTTCCACTTTTTTGCATAATTGCGAGTTGGACAGCATCATGTGGACTATACTTTAGTTTTTTCTGCTGTTTGGACGTCTGGTCCACTTTTGATACATCCAATTGACAAATTATTGTAATTTTTCTTTACTAGTTATTGATAAAAAGTTGTTTTTTTTATCTAGGAAAAAAATAAGAAATGCACCATCCATTTTCAACATCTTGCTCAGATTTTTTTTCATTTTACAGATCAACTAAAGAGGAAGCGCAAAGATTAACTCTCATGCCCAAATTCTTATGTTTCATATACATTTATCAATACTCTTGAAACATGAACTCACCATTCATTTCAGAGTACAGTACAGTAGTCAGGTAGGTCTCATCTTGTCTTCCGTCTCTAAAGCCTAGGCCACCATGTTATGTTGATCAAATAAAAATTTGCAGCTTAGATAGTGGCATTTATGATCTATTCGCAGTTGGCCAACAGGTATAAGTAGCGACCTAAGTAGTATGGGCATGGTGTTGTAGATTTGAGTTCTTACCCGGTATTACCATGGATGGGAAGGATTATGAATCTTGTGATCGTTAGAGGGAACATAATGGCCACTTCTCTACATAATTATACATTGACTCCAAAAATATCATTCTACTCTTAAATTCTTGTTCGGTTGTTTATGTCTTTGACCCAATTGATGACCTTTTTCCATACGCAAAATAAATACATTCAAGAATCTGAGCAGTTCAAATTTCTGCAATGAAAAGCAAACTACTTGTGTGAAAGGTTCTCCTTCCTTATAAATAAGCGATCATTCAAAGTCATGTACGTACGGATATTAAAGATGAGGAGTACCTCCTATAGAAAGCCTGCATTAATGCTGTCCAGCATTTTTCCTGGTCATTTTATCTGCCAAGTGCCAAGTAAAAATTCAGTAATCGAACAAAGAAGCCTAAGACAATTTTAGAATAGGATTTTAACTTGCAAATTACAACCCAAGCTACACTACTCATGGAAAAATAAACATAAAGGTACAACAATTAACGTAGGATATCTGGCAATTTCTACTTGGATTTTCATACTTCTTCACTTCCATAATGTAGAATGTCACAGATTCACCCTATAGCCAATATCAATACATATCGACCATCTCTATTATGAACCAGATCACCAAAATTATACCAGCAAATCATAGAAACTCACTGCACTGGTTGGACTGCTACCAAGCATAAACTTAAGCTGCATACGAATAAAAAGAACAGAAAATGAAACTTCTAATGTCGCAGAGAAAGAGAATGAATACCCTGCAGCAAGCCGGCAGACAACATCCGATCTATGTTATCCACACGCCGTTGTATAGACTTCAAAACTGAATTCAATGATGAGACTCTATTTCTAACACCAGATATCTTGGCAGCATGCTGCAATATGAAAGGCAATGGTGCATCTTCAAGCAGTTGATCAAGCTCTGAGAAAATACATCATTATAATTCATTCAACAAAATTAACTAAATATTATAAGAAACAGAACTTCAAGCCCACAAATAAAAAGCTATAGAAACTAAGATGTAGGTGAATAAAAACAACTCCTCTGCATTCTACACACAAATACATACATATCCACATACGGAGTGATCAATTCTGAAACTGCTAGTGGTTCAGGGTATATAAAGGAATTAATCAACGTTAAGGAAAAAAAAAAAACTTTTGCTATATATAATTAAGGCTGATAATTATTGCAATATAAAAATTAAGAACATGCATTAGCAGAATAAAAGCACTGTTTTCGTGCCCTAACAGCAAAGTGAGTCTGCCTTTATAATCACCTCTGGTAAGACGATCAATGGCGTAAGAGAGCTGATCTTGGCTACGAACTGTGGCTTCAGCTCTGGAATCGAAATCCCTAATTATAGAAGAGATGACAGACGAGAGCCCATTGGCCAATGAAGACTCAGAACCGTTGTTTATCGTATTACCAGCATCATCGTCATTTGCGGTGGTGGGTTCAGGCTTTTCATTTGCCGATAAAGCATCAACATCAGAATTTGATGCAATATTTGAAGATGGTTCTGCGTTGTCAACAACAACACTGGGTTCCTCAGTGGAATCGTAACCATGATTTGCTGGTGCTTCCTTGGACATGACAAATCTCGAAGTTTATGCGGATTATTGTTGGAAGGTGAGGGATGGATATGGGATTTGCTTGGGTTTTTGAGTTTTTACACAGTTGAATTGGGGAAGGTCGTGAAGCACGGGAGAGATTCAAGAATCAAGATTATTACTTTGGGATTGGGATACTTACTGGACGGTGATATATAGGACCAACCACATCTTAAGTTGAGTTAAAATCTTCATAATTTTTAGGGTTATAATTTAATTTCCACATAAATAGTCGGATAATTGACAAAAAAATAATCAATTAATATATGCATAAACTATCCATAAACAGACTCGTACAACCCATAGTCTCTTATGGTTGAACCCAAATTTGGTGTAATTTTTTTTTGTTAAACTAAAGATTTTTGACTCTTGCTCAAATTTAAATTTCAATAAAAATGTTACTCTAATCTTTTATTCAAACTCATACTAAATAAAAAAAAATTTAAATTTTTACTCAAATTAAAAAAGACAGAAATCTACAACGGTTAGATTTCACTTTTTAAAAATATTCAATGATCATATTTTACTTTCTATTAAATTTAAGTTCGTCCAATGACATGTTTTTGTATAAAAGTAAGTTTTTTATTCTAAGTGTTGATTCAAAATTGAGAAAAAAAAAACAAAAAAAGTATTAACACCAAAAATCTGATGGGAGTGTGAAATAATATGATGAAAAGTAAAGTGGTCCCTTTGACATTATGAGAAACTATGACGGATGTCATTATAATTTCAGCCCTCTTTGAATGGTTGAAATGACCAAAAACTCCTCTGCGTATGTGTGGGCCACAGAAATTAGGGTTTCAAGTTACATAACACTGGCCATATAAATATTAAGCGATAGCCTCTCCTCCACATTCTCGTGATAGCACAGGCCAAGTTTCTGGCTGGAGAATTCGGCGACCAGAGAGACAGAGAAGTTAGAAAAAAACTTGAACTAGCATGAGGGCCAAGGTTAGCGTTCTTCTGATATTGGAGCTTGCAAAGACATTTTCATCCAATCTATGTTGTTGTTTTTCCTACAACTATCTATTATTGGATGTGTTGTTGTTTGGGCAACAAGAGGATTACGTTATACTATGAATTTGACCAAATTGTTTCTTGGTAGAATAGAATAGAATAGAATTGAGATTTGTGGCATCTTTGTATGAAGGATGATCAATATATTTAAACTTGATCGTATTCTTATTTTTGTGTTGTGGTAATTGTTGTGAATTTCACAAGGCTAATCTTATAACTCACTGGTAATAACATGATGTGCCTTTCATGATTTAAGAGAGACTTGAAATGAGAGACAGAACGTATGGTGTGGGGATTTTCTAAGATGCTAATTTGTTCTGCGACCCTTTTACTTTATAAATGAGGGAATGGGAACTTTGGCCATTACTAGCTATAAATGTTTCTTAGTATTTCTGTTGACGTTGACTTACAAATCCTCAATTTGTCAACCTTGTCTTTACAAGTGAGCATACAAAAATGGAATTGTAGGGTAAAATGAGATTGATATGTATGTATCCTAGTTTAATGTTGATTGGAAACATGGTTGCTAGTTATGATTTGTATGTTAATAGGAGAATCTTCCTTAACATACCTTTTTTTTTAGAGAAATAGCAGTAATATATATGCATTGTACAAAAAAAAGGTTGGGAATTGATGATATGGGATGTGCTAAAGAAGGAAAAGGAATTGCAATTTATAATTGCAAGTACTTGATTATACAAGTAAGGAAGACTTTATTATATACGTAATTCACATTGATGGAGTTTCTTCCACATGTTCTGCCATTTCTGTCTGAAAGTTGGAATTTTGTGCCGAAATGAAAGGGAAATTTCTGGTGAATTATATACTTGAATCTAAGGTATTGTCTTCCTGATGTTTGGTTCGTTGCTTGTGACAGTGGAAGAAGAAGCGTATGAGGAGGCTGAAGAGGAAGCGACGAAAGATGAGACAAAGATCCAAGTAAATGGCAATAGGATGGCTTCTTATGATTTGCCTGCATCTTCTTCATCATGCGGTTTTTGAAGTGTGTTTTCTTATATTGTCGTCTGTTTCTAGCGGTGGTTCTAGTTTAAACTTTTTTGGTACAATTAGGCGACTTAGCTCATGTTTTGCGTGAATTTCTCTGTATTGTTTTTCATTTGTATGAATCTTAAGTGCTTATGAGATTCATAACTTATTTCTTTAATTTTGGCCTCATGTCATTATGAATACAGTCATTTTTGGATTTTGATGATGCCCAGCTTTCATTTTCTGAGTGTGTCTACTGGATGGGTGTAGAGCACATGTTTCTGGTTGATGCCTGCACTGTTGTAGAAGTATCTGCTTCTCCAACTTTGGAATGAATTCATATGGAACAATTGTGAGTATCTTTCTTGGTAGAGGTAGTGGTTTTTAATTAATGAGGGCGTGTTGTTGGAAGATTATTCGAGATAAGTTTTTTTACTAGTTACTTTTTTTTGGGTTACACCTTGGTGTCATGGAGGAAGATGTTATTCTGGCATGTACGTTGGTTGCTTTTTGGAGTGATCGGTCACGGTTGGAAGATATAACGAACAGCCGAGGGAAGGGAGAGGATGAGGCCACATCTCATCGTTAAAAGAGACGGTGCTCACAAGTCACAACATCTCCAAAAAGAAGGGACACTAGTCATCAGACCCTTGTTGATCAATCCCAGCTGCTCTTCGTAACACCGATCATAATGGGGCCACAATGGCTGGATGGCACATAATCTTATTGATTTGCTTGATGAAGGAACTGAGCCAAACAACGTCAACTTATTAGGCCATGGCAGGAGATCTTACTACCAAACCCACACATACACCTCTCTACCTTATAAACGAGGTCAGGAAACACAGCAACGTCTGATTAAATGCAAAATTAGTTCTACTAAGATATCAGTCGCACATCAGCAGGATAGTCGGTATGTAGGTTATAACCAAGACATGCACTTGTTAACGCTAATTGTTAAATGCCAATGACGGAATAGCCCATCATCCTACTACATTCATCGGTACAACTAGGGAACTAAGACATCTTCATTACCTGAAGACGCTACATTCCAATTTAACACAGGTGAAAAGTTTGAAACATGCTCTCTATTGAAAGCAACAAAATTGCAAAAGCAGAGCAACCTAGCTTTTGTTAACTCAACCGGGCTGTTACAATGCTTTATATGGCCTTCAAAGCACTCGCCCATACCTTATATAACCAATTGCTCCATTAACCCCACTGTATGTACCCATTTCAGAGTTGACACGGTTTTCGGGTTTCGTATGTCAACCATAAAACTTCCATTTTGATTCTGACAGTATTGGCCGGAGAGACAACTGGAGAACTTGCTTACATTTGCACCTCCATGCAACGAGATCAACTTATTGGTAATTGGATTCGATAGTCACTCTACAATGGCAGTTCTCTTTTCTAGCAATGACTCCAAAAACATTGAACACAATTTGGTGAGAGGAGGAAGGTTATGAGATGATCCACTGAATATGGTTTCCCATGGCCTTTCAGATGGTACAAATGAAACCTCTGTAGTTTGATTTCTCTTTAAGTTGAATTCAGGCAGTTCCCCATATATAGTTGCATATCCAAATTGCTCTGTTGGGAAAAAAGGCAGACAATTAAAGGCAAAGACCAGAATGCCTTGATTATTTAGAGTGTTACCATAATGGATCTCTAATATAGCAAGACACGCTGAAACAGTGTGATTACAGCTTCAATTAAAAACAGAAAAATGACAGGATCAACTACGTGGAGTTATGGAGCAGTAGATACTATGATACATCAATACAGAAGCCTTACCTGTTTCGTCAATGCCAAAATGACTTCTCGGATGAGTAACATAATCATGCACTTGCTCGCCATATGGGCTGAAGAGGACATATTCATGATCATCATTTATGTAAGCAAGCAATGTTTGTCCTGGTTTTCCATCTGTAATATCTTCTGGGGATCTAGGACTTATTTTAATAAAAGCAAGTCCACCTCCCTTGGCCTGTACAGAAAGCATAGAAGAGTCAAAATGTGATCCAAACTATTCCCACTGCCATCATCAGCTAAAACTGTTGTTATATTCAATTAACATTTCTACACATGGGTTAATGTTTTGGGGCTACAGAGAGCAAAAACTTTGTCACCACTTCTGATATACGCATTATCTGAGAGGAACAATCTCAGATGATCAGTTTTTCAGCATTAAAAGTGAGTGAATTGGGAAAATTTTAGTTAGATTAGTCACACCCTCCCTCTTATGTATTGTAAACATCTGCATCAACCCTCCCTCTTATGTATAGCAATATCAATGATATTTCAATCTCCAGCTGTCCCAACTCAGTGGCCTAGCCCAGTATGTTCATCAATTTGATTGAGGATTATCATAGTTATAACAAATGCTTTAAAAAAATTACCCATTATATCATGTAGCACCATATTCAAACAAGGAGAAAGCTACAACAAAATTAGAATGAAAAATTATCTATTATACAATGCACAAACAATTAGACTATGTGTTAGGTCATATCACCAAATGCATGTAAAATATGATAATATATTTGACTATGTTTCCTGCACCAAAAAAAACCAAGGCCTCTCTTCATTAGAGGGACCAGGTCAATCATAGTCCCACAAACCAGACAAATGGCCCAAGACAGGTTGAAAAAAGGGATCAAAAAAGGAAAAACTTACCTTCCTCACAAACCAGGTAGAAGCCGGAACTGGATCTCCTACATTAAATAATAGGATTACTCCATCAGTACCCTGTATCGTGTTTTCATTGGACTCCATGGACTTGGATGACTTGGGGAGAAGGGCAAGTACAGCAAAGCAGGAATCGTCCACTGTAGAGGCTACAGCTGCATAAATACAAAAAAACATAAGTCATATACTTGTAAGAAACAGTGATATCGCCATATCGGAAACAAGTTGGTGTTCAAAATACTGAATGTCATAGGATTTGTGGGAAATGCTTAAAATGTAGGATCCTGTAAGTAAAGGTCCAAAACCTAGAGATTGGGAGAATTATGGATAATTATGAGAGTAAGTGAATAATTTCAGTAATATATAGTGTCACGACAAACAGTGACACTATATTCTTTTACTGCAAAAAATGATTGTCATTAAAAAAGAACTAGCAAAATGGCACCTCTCATGCCCGTAGGAGATGTTTGAGGAAAATCCTCTACTTGACTTTGTTTCTTTTGCAAATAGGAGGTGAAAGAGAGAACCTCCAGATTCTTGGATAACAAGTTGTGTTGATTCCATTAGTCCAACTTAAAAGTAAAGCTGTTAAAAAGAAAAGATGAATACAAACCTTCTGTGTGCAGCTTATAAGACCAAGATGCACAGAGCTTTGACATGCTCCAAACAGATACTTGTGAGTTTGAACCTTGGGATGCAGACACAAGATAATCGGACTTTCCAACAAATGACAGGGTCACAATTGGCTGTAGAAAATTCCAAAAACATGTTCAAATGAGAGAGAGAGAGAGAGTTGGAGTCCTGGGGCGGAGAAGCTAAAGAGTTGGATATGTCATCGTGCTATCACAGGACAGTTCTATACATGGCAGTAACAAAATTACTAATGTCTATAGACCCTCTTGTGAAATGAAGGCCATGAGCAAGAAAGCATCCAATTTTTTTTCTATCTAGGAAGCCTTCTTCCTTAGATTGTGTTTACAAGCACAACCCCTAAAAGACGATGACAGTAAACTCGTTCAGGGAATCACCTCAATACTCTCTCCAATTACAGCCACAAGAACATTCCTCTGTGGATCCCACAATGTAATAACAGTTTCTGCAGCAACAGCCAGAACAGAACCATCGGCTGAAAATGTGGCAGCAGTCATGGGCTTCTTTCTACCAGGAATCAAACCATGTTAGAATGACAGAAGAAAAAAATTAATATCTTCATGAGGAACACACTGGATTTTCATACATATAACTTCAATTCTCTGTTTAACCTCCGTAATTTCTTACATATTACCATATTATTTAAATAATGATATGACCCACTATGTGGCAAGGGAAAAAGGTCATTGCTTCTAAAATAATTGACTCAATTCAAGGCAATATCATACTTATATGAACCAACAGCATGGCACGTCCATCCGGTCATTGGAAGCATCTGATCCTTCTGCAGGACCTCATGGCTGCGAACCCAAATCTACAAACTTAAAAGTGTTACACAAAGCAGCTTACTGAAAGGAAAAAAGATCAAATCCCATTGGCTTCACTTACCTTGAAGTCACCACCATAGGATGAGCTGACAGCCATGTGGCGTGTAGGATGGAAACCAATTCCAGAAACACCAGCATCCCTACACAATATTCAGTAGGTAGCATAAACTTCATTAGTTTGACGTCTTATGAAATGAATTCTACTCAATATTTTCGGTATTGGGATTTTTGAAAAAAAGCACGGTCATGGTGGCAAGCAAAGTGGACTTCCTTCATGAAAAACGCATCGTATTTTATCAGGTTTGTGAAGAAGACCATAATATGATTGAAGCACTTTACGTTCAGTATGAATAAGCCACAGACAAACCTGTGTGGTTCATATATAACAGTGGATAAGCTGAATTCTTTAGTCTGAGACCCACATGTCCAAAACTTAAGACTTACAAGCCCACCTATTCCGTCTTCAGGAAGCCTAGTTTCAATAGTACTCATCGTAGAACCATCTAAGGAGAGGGCCACTAAATTAACCATTACCTGCAATCACAGAACATGAAGATTTTGAGCTTGAAAACGATATTTTACATTTCAATGTATAGAGGGCACTCAATCAGATTTGCTATAGGTGCCAGCCCCATCAAACATTTTCTCTACATTAATGGTAAATCCTTAATGTAGTGATAGGGTTAAAACCACTGCTTGTAAATGTTACAAGAAAATAAGCTTGCAACATTAAAGCACTAGTTTTATGGCTAGAAAAAGAAGACTGTAGTACAAACATGTGGTTACAGATGAAGGTAGATTTCAATGACACCCTCTAACATTACAATTTCTTCTAGCCATTCCATGACATTTGAATCATGGCACGAGGACCCCAATTGAAATTTTCACATAAACAATGATTTATTCATCAACATTTGACTAGTTAAACTTGTCCAAAGTTAAGCAAACCACATTTAACCATCAACACAGCTCGACCCAATCCATCAGAAGTCTAAGCCAATCGCAACCCATCACCAACACCACCACCACTAAACAGATATGGAGAGGAAGAGAATTGAGAGAGAGAGAGAGAGAGAACAGCAAAAAAATACACACACATTCATGAGCAAAAGACTCCTCTCCTCCTCCCACCGACAACTGCCGAATTCAGCAACCCCTACCCCTAAACACCTACCCCGAACCCCCTTCGCCATATCTACCACCCAATTTCTACAAGTTTTTTAATGGGATCATTTTTTAGAAAACTCAGACTTCATAAACCAATATCTTGATGTTTGCTTCCTGCATGAAGGCATATGTTAGTTATCCATAGCATTGATATCAAGAGGGAATAGATGAATATAGTTCAATATTATGATTTCACTAAATGCTTGGTACCCAAACATTTGCAGGTCTTGCACATAAGCTTGGTGTTTTGATTGGTTGCCTATGTGAGTTGTCGCCATTGGAGTAACTTCAGTTCCAATGCAAGATTGAAAGAGAGAAAACAAAGCTTGAAAATTCGAAACCTAAAAGACCCTAGGGATTTAGAGATGTTTCAGGGGAAAGGAGGGGCTAGTGATTGGTTCACCAGTTAGAACCAAATATGAGGGGAGGCTGCGGGTTTGAAAGGGAAGGAGCAGCTGGGAGAGGGATTTCAGACAGAGGGAGGATGCAGAGTGGTGCAACCGTGTAACAGAGAAAGAAAGGGTCGAATAAAAAGATGGGATATGACTGTGGGAGTAGAGGGTTATTTTTATTCTTGTTATAATTAGGTTTAGAGAAGGGATTTAATTTTTTATTCCAGAGAGTAATAAGGGATAAAACTGGATTTTTAAACATAGATTTTGCAGGTGCCGTCTTTTCTGCCGATCGAGGGTACCTAACTGATACTATCAAAAGCCTACATAAAATGGGAGGGAATGGCCATGTTAGTTATCCGAATGTCAGGGCTGTCAACTATTTTTCCCCTATTACTAACATCTAAAATACTCAATGATTAACAGCTCTGCTTGTTTGAAAATAATGGATTATTAGAGATAAAATTCCTGCATAAAAATATCAAAGGCTGCTTTGCAGAAAATGCCAGAAAGAGAAGAAAAAGGAAAGAAAAGTATGCATTATGACTATGCAGTTATAGAATAAGAACCCAACTTAGTATACTTAACACACTTAATACCTTAACATATCATGTCCTAACTGATGGACTATAGAAGTTAGCACCACTTACAGTATACACTTCCACCCCCACCCCACCCAGGCGTCCTTTTTTTTTTTTTTTTTGTGTTTGGGGGGGGGGGGGTGCGCCTTTTACCTCAGATTAAATTGACTTCATAAAACTGCAATATGGGACTAACAAAAAAAGAAAAGAAACTTTGCATACCGTGACTTCATCACCTAATTGAAGGTTTCTTTCACAGACTTGAACCTGCAAAAGCATGCAAGAAAAATTCAGTTCCCTGGCACTAATATCTGGCAGGCAGTGAATGACATCTTGAAATTCGGAAATGTCAAGCAAAAGTACTGTACGTGGAATGGGGTGGACAACAACCATTTCCCCTATTAGACATGGCCACCCTGGCTAACTAATACACCAAATTCGACAACAATATTTACATACCCTGTATAGGGACTTAGGGAGAAAAGTGGAGAAATATTTTAATGTCCAGTATTGCGCATTTTAGCTATTGATCAAGGTAAAGGTGACTGATCCAAACCCACCAAACATGAAAATCCAGAATGGGGTAAAATGGTTCAAAAAATCATAAACTTATCACAATATATTTATCAAATGTCATGAAATTGAAAACTATTTACCCCTGGATAATGCAGATTCTTCCTAATGCATAAAGTAAATGACAAAAACAATAAAAGAAACTGCATCGAGGTCAATGTTAGGCTGTAATCAGATTGAATAAAGCAGATATTTCAAAATATCATCATGCTCACCTCTGAAACTTCACAGTCATCTAACAAGCTGTACAATTGGATGCAGTAATTTTCTGCACATACGGCTACTTGCCCACCTGTGTAATCAAAGACAAAACCGCTATACAAGCCTTTGCATACCTCTGGAACTGAACCAGGAAGCTGTAGAAACAGTGTAAGAAATTTCTTAGCACAAAGACTATAATTTTTCCCTAAGCAAGGAGAACTTAAAAGATGAATACAGAAAATAGTAAAATGCTGAGACATCAAATTCAATACCAATAGCCTATAAACATCATATATTGTGCATGTGTACTGTATTGACAGAAGTACCAATTGGTCACTCTTAATCATGTATTGTGCATGCACACCCACACAGAAATAGCGAGATTGATGGTGACAACTGACTGACATTAAGCAAGTTTCATAATTAACTTAAACCACCCTAAAAAAGTATGCACAGAGTTTGAGCACAGACACTATAAAAAGGAACCAAACAGAGCTATTGTACTGTTCTTATTCCTGTTCGGTTTAGTCCATGAGAAGAAAATAAAAAGACTAAAGAGAAGGTACCTTGATCCCTGAAATGGACTTCAAAATCTCCATTGAAGGCATTTTCAAAAAATGAATCTGATTATCTGCACAGGATATCTGAAGAAACTTCAATCAGAACTAGTATGATTGCAGCAGACAAAACTCATAATTATTGAAATAATCTATCCTCTCATATATGAATGGGTTTTTCTTACAGAGGAAAGTGAAGGATCTGGAGAATTTAAATAATATAAAAGTGGAGATCCAATTCTGGGTAGAAATCTCTTTTTCCCTGTGTCTAGCTGCCAAACCACAAGAACTCCTTCTTTCCCTCCTGGATCCAAGTAAAATGGATGTTTGGTCAAATTTTCAATAAATAAATAACAACCAGCATGCAAAAAAAAAAAAGATGAGAAATGTCAATTTCAGCAAGCATACTCAAAGGAAATTTTGACTCGTGCCATGTAGTGAATACAGATTTGCAGTTTACCATGTTAGGTTTACAGTGAATATACTTTTATATATACCTGAGTACAAATAGGCCCCATCAGAAGAGAAAAAAAGAACCTTCACTTCCGCAGAATGCCAATGCCATGTGCTGCAAGAGTCAGCATCATCATCTCTCCTCCCCCCAGGCCTTTCATCATCATTTGTTGAGGGTCCTCCATTTATTATTGGATCACAATCAGAAAATGTTCTTCTACCAAAACTCCTCCAAATTAAGATCCTCCCTGTCACATCACCTGCTGCTAGAATTCTATGGGTTGGATGAAAAGCAAAAGTGGTGAAGCTTTTGGTATGATGCAACGTAATTTTCTTGTACACAGCACGCGCAGAATCCTTTGTTGGTACTTCCCATATTCGAAGCTTGCGCTTGTCACGGATGCCAAAGTACTTCCCAGATGGACTACTGGTTATAATTTCTGGTTTCCAAGTCTGTAAAGTAATAAGGAAGTGAAGAATATCTCACAGACATTAAGCATAAGACTACTAGTCAGAAATTTTCCAGAATGAGCACCTCTGCAAGAATAACTCCACCAGCTAGACGAGATTCAGTTAAGTTGCACTTCCGGATCTGTCCAGATGAAGCATTAGGCCTGTGCTCCTGTTCTTTCACATCTACTGCAGATAAATAAGCAAAAAGATGAGGTGGCTTATCATTGCTCTCTGGTTGTTGGCCGGATAATTCTGGAATCACCTGGAAATCATTAGAATAAGTTTCTTGGAGTCAGAGAGAAAGATAAATTTCTATTCTATCGTGTAGCATGTTTATTAGAGACTACATTATTCCCGGAAAAGGCCATCCCAACAAAAAATAGATAATAATTTAGTTGATCATATATGGTAAAAATAGATTTATTAAAGGACCTCCATTTCCTCTGATGCCCCATTCTAGATGACAATTTTTATCAGAATCTTTAGTTAAAGAAAAACCATCTAAAATACAACTCAAGGTGAACCAATTAGTTCACTTGATCACAGGCACAGAGGATTGTGCTCCTTCTCAAGCATGCATAATAATACAATCATCAAAGCTTTAATGGCTTTCTTTTGCTACATTTCTTGAGAAACAAAAGAATCATCACATAATATCAAATTCATGCTAATCATCAAAGATATCCATCCATAAACAAGACAAACAGTTAACCAATCACCATATCCGCAGCCAAAACAAATAAATTAGATATCCAAAAATTACCATGGAGTGAATTGGGAACCGAATATTGATCGTCTTCATTAACTCCGGCACGGAAAAATCCCAATACCTAATCGTCCCATCGAGAGAAGCAGTCCAACAATAGCACAAGATTTTACTCGCAGGTGTAGAAGCCGGCACCACTATGACCGATGTCACAAGTGCAGTGTGACCTCCCAACTCAGTAATCTGCAGAAACTCCAAGTAAAAAGCTAGACGGAGCAAATCTGTTTTCAAATTAATCCAAAAACCTAGATACTGCTAGGCGATTTGACGGACCTGCAAGCCAGTGGAGGTGCTGAAGATGGAGACGGTATTTCCTGTGCAAACTAGAAGCTTCTTCGCATCGTTTGAAAACGCCGGAGGCGAAGAAACAAAGCTCTTCCCTCCTCGAATCATTTCCGTTTCCTATTCTATAGTATAAAGATTAAGGGAAGATGACGATTGACGAAGATATGTATGTATATAGCATATATGGAGATGATAAATAACTAGGGTTTAAGTCGATCAACTGCTTCTCTGCTTTTTCTTCCAAAGCCCTACAAAAACCCTACTAAGTTAAGTACAGGCGGGGTGGGAGTGGGAGTTGAGACTCGGGTCTGGTGGGTCGGGTTAATTGGTCAACCCAAAAAACCGAAAACTAAAACTCAAATCTAAAATTTATCCGATCCTTTTCACCCGAATTGAAAATTTCGAATTCGGGGTTGTGATGAATTCTGACATCAACGGACTCAGCTCCGCAAACAATCGAAAGTACACAGATAATTGGAAATGAGTTTCCTTCTTCTTCCTTCGAAACCTTGAGATAAAAACTCTAGAAATAGAAGGATGAGATCATCGTCATCTTCTTCGTCGAAGCATGGTGCAGAGAACAACCGTGCCATCAGCGGCCACATGATCACACTACATAAACGCCTTTACCATGCCCTCAACATTGGATTCAGGTTACTTTAGTGTAAAATAACTTTTGGAAATTCTTAATTCACTGTTTCTTTGCGAGTTGTTGCTTGTTTTATGAAGTTGTTTATGTACGAATGATCCATTTCGATACTTAAATTAGAATTGCTTTGTTTATATGTGAATGAAATGTTGTATAAGCTTTGCTTTCAAATAGCTTGATTCTCAACGCAGGTGATTCTCTTGCTTATACATGTTCTGTGAAAACAATTATTAACTTCATGAGGTCGTACAACAACTGAGACTCTGAAATGGACGTGAGTGTGGGAATTGGGGCAAAATTTAAAGCAGTGCGTGACGAGATGAAGCGAATGGCATGGCTTTTGGAACGATTAATTATGATCATGTACGACAGACACGAAGAAGATAGTGTAGAAGTATGAAATTGGTTTCAGACTGACAATTTAACATATCTTGGGTACTTAACTGGCTTGTTTAAAGCAAGCATAAGCTAATGTGGAAACAGCTCAGGTAAGCTCTTGGTAGGTACCCTTTCATGCAACTTAAAAAGGAATTTTGATGAATCAAATAGAATTTCCCTGAGGACATGCCATGAAATTGTGGAAATTGACTCAGTATGTTCCCAGAAAAGAGTTAGAAAGAAAAATTCAGAGCATGAGAGAGAGAGGAGGACAAAGGAAATGACAATAAATGACTGCACCAGTAAAAAGGGATTCGGGGATCATGATGATGGCTTGAAAGTCATAATGCTAATGTTCTATAACTGTGAGCTTCATTCTACGAATTTTCATTCCTGGTTAGTAGCCCAAGGAAGCGCATTTGTGGTCAGACTATTTTTGTTTGGTGCAAGAAGATATGTTATCCCGATTTATCACCTAAGTTTAGCAAAGGGTCATTCCTGATTTTATCACCCAAACTGAACAACCTTGGCTTTTTTGGGCCAGATGAGAAGAGGGACAACTTTATTTTGTTATTGGATAGTTGGAGTAAGTGAGCTGTAAATAATTTTTGGGTCATTTCAATTTCTTGGAGATGATTTTGGATAAAATTAAGCAGCTGACTTTGGTTTCAGTTAGGCCAAAAAAAAAAAAAACAAACTGGGGCTACTTCACTGATTTTTTATATTAACACCTCCTCGCCTATTTGTTTCTTTCCACCATGCTTGGTTGGCATGTTGATACTGTAAAAGTTTATCTTAAAACTTTTGCAAAAAAAAAAAACAATGATTATTGTAAAAACTATCTTGTTTTGCATTCCTAAATGCACCTTGCTGGGGATACTCATGGAGGCAGTGTGCTGTCAGTAGGGGATTTAGTGAAGCAAAATCTTGTGATACCTGGGCCTGTTGCATAAGGGGAGTAGTCAGTTGTCATCTAACAGAGTAGTAGTGAGCTACAGAGTTATTCAATTACTTCAGATTCTTGTTAGGATTCATGATACTGCTATACCTCTTCGCAACAGTTAGACTTCGGATTCCTCCATCAAAGACTAGCCTCACCACATCAAAACTTTTTCTAGAAGCAGATTCCAGGGTTCACAGATGGGTCTTAGAACTTTCCTTTTGGAATGTAATCTCCCTCTCCTCCTCTCCCTCGGATGTAGCTTCTTGGATTTTTCAAGATGTTGGCCAACAAGGTTGGATATGCCATTGGCTATTAGTAGAAGTCAAGGCCAATTGATTTTTTCAGGTTCCATTGCTCTAAGCCATTGTTCATTGAATAAGAAAATAGGACTGTAAAGACCTGCGAATATTTGTAAAATTTGAATCTGGAGAAAGAACATGTTTGCGTAACCGTTTTGTTGGCCTTGACTTTGGTTTTCACATCCTGTTGCTTTGTTCTTTTGGTTATGCTGGTTCAATGAGGATATCCAGTTCCACTTTGTATCATCGTGCCCTCTTGATGCATATAGGTTATTTGAGAATATTTCTATACATAGTAGTTGTTTGATATTATTTCTATACATCACTCCACTGAGGTACATAATTCATATTCAATGATCCTGTGAGGCACATAGGTTGAACAATTTCAACCTATTAAAAGTTTGATATTTGATTGATTCAGTCTCCATTGAAAAACAGAAATGTCGAGGTTTGGTACTGGTTGGTTGTGTGGAGATTTGGGAATTAGAAAGAAGAGTTTTCGAGGTTGTTCTTGGGCTGTTAACCGTGCTGTGAATAGTAACCGAAAAATAAGAACTTTGTTCTGCCGCCCCTCCAGCACCCTGTTATTTTTTTCCAGCAAGTATCCACAAAACTCAAGGGAAAGAACATGAGGAGGAAAAAGAAGAGACAAAACCTAAGAAATTCCTTATTAGGCACTCTAACTTGAGAGGGCGCATCATGCGTCATAAACAAAGTGTCTTCATTTGATTTTCAAAATAAGGTTGTATATGCAATACATATGGGAAGAGCTCTAGCCTGAAACACAAGCAACTTTGTCTCCTGGTAGTGATTTGGTCCAAATTTTACCAGGATACTTGCAATTTCTCTAAGCTTAACTAAAAGACTACTATGTTTTTGTACCCTTTGGGCTCATCAACCTTGATACAAAGATACATAAGTGAGCCCATAACAAAACCACGACATAAAATCCTAATCCCCAGCCCATGTTCTGCAAATATTGGATTACCAATATATTTGTACCTTCTGAATGAAGAAAATGCTGAAGAATTAGTTTAATTACAAATCATCTCAGAGCAAATACCAATTAGACTCGATTTGACCCTAATCTTAAACCTGGACTCTTTACCACGCTCCATGTGGAAGTCCCAACATCCTTCTCGTGTCCTTTTCTCTACCAAATGGAGATCTTTCTCTCAGAAACTAACAACATACTGCACTCAGATACTTCTGAGCGTTAGTTTCTTGTGACATCATTTCTTATAGTTGTCAGGTAATTGTAAGATTACTCTTCATTTCCTAATCTTACTTGTGGATTTACTTGTGGATTAGCAGATGTTGTGATGACAAAGGACGAAAATGGCACTGTACAGATATTGAGATGCAGAGACTTGTAGTTCGCTCAATTGATGCATTTCTTGATTGTATCTCTAGTGAGACATCACAACACCCACTTGTAAAGGTATTATGAAAACTTGAACTTAGAGATCTGCTGCTTTGTAATAGTCTATTTCATAGTCTTATAAATAAGAAGCTGTTATGAGTGTCACTTGCATGTAGAAAGTGCTTCTTGCAATATGTTTATGTGTTGGCTAGTCGTGATATTTAATCAGTAGTCTGAGTTGACACCCCTGATTTTCTGCTTTGTAATAGTCTATTTCATGCTGATCTTATTTCTAAGAAGCTGTTACAATCGACTCTTATTATCATTTTATCAGTTTTATTACAAAAAACTTCAATTTTAATTTTTCTCTTTGTTGCATAATCCAATGGGCATTGTTTACATGCGTGAGAATGAAATCCCATTCAAACGGATTTTAGTGAACCGCATATCATCATATCCATTCCACGGGGTAAGGGTTTTCAAAGTCCTCTAAATGTGCAAGATGTTAATTTATTGGAAGATACGAGCATTGAAGTTAGTATCATCAATCATGAGTTTAGACTAATAATTTATATGATAGAAAGCTCAATTTGGTTAAATTTGTGCCCCAACTTGAAAGAGGTGACAAATACTAAGGATCCTAAAGTCACTAAAACTACTGTATGCTTGGTGACAATGATGTGCTCGACATGGGCAATTGGAAGGTTGACTCTATGTGAGAAGATACACTGGTCGATAATGTTTCCTAACCAGGCTTTGGGTCAAATAGGGTAATGGTTGGATATGTTGGATGTTGTGCACTGCTAAACCTTAAACTGATGAAAATATCTTCTGCTTTTGAAAACTTAGATATGACTAACGTAGAAAAAATGAAGTCTTGTTGGTTGACTTATCCATTCATACTACTACTTGCATGCAAAGCGACATGTATTCAATTTATTTCAACTCAATGAAACATTTTCCCAACTATTTTGGGTCCAGTGCCACGTTTCCGCCTTTTTGTTTGAATCATAAACCATCATGTTATTCTTTATATTTGAGCCAATGTTAATTTTGATCTCTTCTGTCCCTTCCATTATCTTTTTACATTGCTCTTCCTCATTGGTACAATTCAAGTGTCAAAATTTCAGTTCGGTGGCAGTTGCGGCCACCTGAGAAACACAAATGTTTTGGAAATACTTCGGAAACAAAATGGAAAAAAAAAAAAGTGGAACTTGGTTTGAAACATTAACTAAAACATAAAAACATCCCAAAACACCTTGAAACATAGGAATTTCGATATTTAGGACTAATTTCTGAAATTTCAGTCGTTTTGGTGTAAATAAAACAAAATTCGGATCTGTAGTACAATAATATATTGTCTCTAAACATATCGTAACCTTCTTCGTTGATTCTTATTTGGTACTGGCCAGGAATTTGTCAGGTTCCTCTGCTATTACACATTCACGTGTTTACTTATGTAAGCGTAGATTTAATCTTGTCTCTCTGCTACTTGTTAAGCAATATGCATCAGTTCATAAAAACGCACATGCTGCCTACCTACTTCCTTTAATCCTTATCCATCCTTATTGGCTTCCTATTCCAGGATTCAGTTGTTGATATTGTTGGGGCATTGGAAGGTATTCTTCAATTCAAGAATGAATCAATAATGAGGTTGGCCTCATGTGTGGCTGTAAAGATGGTCAGCGTTTTACCTTGTTCAATACTCCAACCTCATATTTTGGATCTTGTTCATCCTTTATCGTCTTTGTTGTCTTCCCGGCAATTGCAAGTTCCTGTTTCATGTGCAACCGCTTTGAGTTCAATCCTTTCAAACCTGACTTTTAAAAGTGAGAGAGACGTGTGGGAGATCTTGAAAGAAACAAACTCAGTTGTTAATCTCGTCCACAATATAAAAGTTTTTTCCGGTGCCGATAAACCAATTGAGTATTTTCAACAGATGGCTTCTCTTTTAAGTAAAATACTGTGGCGATGGCCACCCTCAAGGTTTTGTGTCTGGGCTGATGCTACATTGTTGGAGGTTTTAGAAGCTCTGAGTCTGAAGCCTGAATATTCTGTCAAAGTTGCTGTTTTGCAGTTGTATTCTTCTTTAGGTATTCATTTACTCGTGATAAATTAGTTCGTTTGTCATGCTGATGTTCTCTTAATTGACTTATATTTCTATAGTTCTATTTTATTTTATTTTTCTGGTTTTCAATGCCAGCTTTATGTGGTAATGGGGCTAAGAAGCTTCTGGAAAATGGAGAAACCCTTCTTCACATGATGATGGACTCAATGGATAGTTCTAGACCTCATTTTCTCAGGATGGAGGGTTTTAAACTTGCTCAATTATTAGCGGTAGGAAATTTGACTTAATCATTTCATGACTCTGTTTAGATGCTTTTCATTTTTTTCCATTTGTAAGTTTTTGTGTATCATGACTTCCTCAGATGAGTGAACAAGGATCTTTTAAAATGGTGATATTGTGTTGTGAGCCCCTTGTCAAGGCCATAATTTGTGGAATGAGCAATTTGAGTTTGCATTCTGGAAAGCTTGCTAAAGACCAAATGATTTTAGTAATGGAGGCATGCCGTTTAACCCGGATCGCCCGTTGGGCGGGGGAGCATCACAGTTACTTTTGGAAACTAGGTGTTGGCAGAGTCCTTATTGATCTCCTTCTAAACAATTTTCACAAAATCCACCAATCTCAACTTAACTGGTCATTGAAAGAACAGATAGTAATGGCACAGGAGGGTCTCAACGCAAATTTTCTTCTTGTTCTGAGACCATATGTTTGGGATATTCTTGGATGGCTTGCAGCAAATTGTGCACAAGATTTTGATCCCAAGATGCATGGAGATGAACTCCACATTAACATCCTTATTATATGTGCATGGTAATATTATCATCCATCATTCTCGCTCCTTACATAACTTGATGTTTTATGATTTATTTATGTTGCTGTATTTTTTATTTTTTTTATTACTTCCATCATAGTTTTGTCCAGGTCTATTAACTTGTACATTTTTGCCTTAATCTCCTGAGTGCTTACAATATTTATGCTTCTTTTGTTTATGCTCTTTGAAAGCTTGGCTTTTGTGGAATCAATTCGTTCAGCACGTCAAATTTTTCAAAATGGTATCAGCAATGTATATGGAAAAGAATCGGCATCTAGAACAGTTCTTATGATGATTTATTCTCCCTGCAAGTACATTGGATCCCAAGCCAGATTAGTACTGTCTGAAGTACTGAAGCCAAATGGCAAGGAGTACATTAAGTACTTCTTAGATACTCTAAATGCCACATCGTCTGGAAATAAGTTAGGAATGCCTGATACCTGTCAGGCTGTTATAAACTTGATTAGTTTGACATGTTGTTTAGGTCTGCCTCAATATCGGAAGCGCGTTACACAAGCTCAAGGGATAGAGACACTTTTGGCCTTTATTAGGTGGTGGCTAAGCAACCCTGTCCACATAAAAAGGTTGAGCATGGCACCTCATTGGCAAAATCCTTTCAGTGAGAGGACTTGTTGCTGGATTTGTGGAGAAGATTGGGAAGGTGAAGACATGCTTCTGCTTTTCAGTCTGTGGGGCCTCGCTGAGTTGATTCACCATTCTGGTTCTTCAAAAACTCAGGAAGATTTGTTTGGCAGTCAAACTGATTATAGTGAAGCTCAATTTGTAAGTGAACTCCAGGAGATATGCAGTAATGCTGATACTCCTGGACCAAGATGGTATGCAGCTAACATTCTTAGTTATTTTGGACTGTATGGCTTTCCCAGTAAACTTGGGAAAAGGATTGGCAAAGCACTCAGTGAGAATGGATATACGGATTTGGAACTCATTCTGACAAGTCAGGAGTCCGTAAGTGTTCATGGAGTAATTCTTATGGTTCGATGTCCATCGCTGCTGCCTCCACTTAAAAAGAAACCATCTGGTGCTTCTTTTGTTAGTCAGGATACCGAGACATGTAAAAATTTCATAACTGAAGTCCATCTCTCTGCCCATGTGGATAAGACAGGACTATTAAAGGTGCTAGAATTTGTCTACTTGGGATACCTACAAGCAGGAGAAGATCTTATGAAGAAGTTAAAAATTTTTGCTAGGCATTGTAACTTGCAATCTCTATTGCAAATGCTTTGCAGACGTCGTCCAAAATGGGGCACTCCTATTCCAAGCTTTGATCTTAGTGCTGCTCTTGGGCCTGCTGGACATCGTTTTTCGTATGGATTTTTCCTTCATAGTCTATATAGAGCATTTTAGTTTTGTGCCAGATATGAACGATCATTCTGTTCTTGCTTTGCACGTTCAAAGGAGAGGCTTCATAATGGCCCACCATTTGTACTGCATACAAAACAATGTATGCCGCCTTCTTCTTCAATGTGGCCGTCTCAGCTGACAGCCTTAAGGCGGGACATCTCCTGTCATCTCTTTGGCTGTCCATTGTCCAATGAATGAAACTGCACTAATTAATTTGGTAGTTAGTGACCAATTAGTTACTATATCTGAACACAAGTGCCACTGCTTCAGTGGTTGTGGTCCAGTAACCTTGAGGTTGTGGATTTAAACCTGAGGGCGACCACCTTTAGCAAATAATGTGAAAGGTTAGGTCCGGATGTAATCTGTCCCTCCCAGACCCCCTTTAATGGGGATTAATTGGTTTTTTTTTTTTTTTCATTAGAAGATATGAATCGAGAAATAGAAGATCTTTGCTATCTTACATCATTCACCATGAATATCCATGGTGTCTTGGTTTATAGAGTGACCTGTTCAGTCAAGGAGAGGAAGAGTATCTAGGTAGAGAGTATTTTCAATACACTACCACATGGCAGTTTTACGTGTTGAAACGTAAGGATTTTAATTGAAGATGTTTTCCTCTTTCAGGGACATCATCTTGGAAGCTAAATCGACTGAAGTTTTGCACTGGAGATGCGATGTTTGCTCAGTACTGGCGCCACATATGCATGTTCACAAAGTTATATTGTGGTCAAGTTGTGATTATTTTCAGGCCCTGTTTCAATCAGGAATGCAAGAAAGGTATTTGCATATATGTTACTCGTATGTTAAGATGATGAAGTTTATTGATGGATGTGATCAACTTAAACTTTTGGTAACAATTGTTGATGTAATAGCTCACTGATGAGTAGCTTTTAGCTTCAGTGAAATGTGGACAAATAGTCTCCCTTGCTAACGTATACCCTTCTGGTGATGGATGGATCTGCGCATATTTGGATATTTTGGCACAGCAAGGATGCCTGTTTGATAATAGTGAATTATCCCCATAAAATCATACTGAATGTAAAGAACCAATCCCAACTGCCTAGGATTATGCCCTTGTTGACCTGAGTTGAGGTTTTTTTTTTAAATATTTTCCTCTGCTAGGTATTTTAATTGACTGTATTTTTATTTGCTTGCAGCCATTCACAAACCATTGAAGTCCCCATAAGTTGGGAAGCTCTTGTTAAATTTGTTCCCTGGCTTTATTCTGAGGAACTGCCTAAGCCCAGCTTCGGCTGTTTGTGGGATAATTTGGATGTGGAGGAGAAGCTAAATGAACTGCAACCATATGTAGAGCTTTATTGGCTTGCTGAATTCTGGCTCTTGGGAGATTTTCGTGAAGACTGCTTCAGAGTGATAATATCTTGCTTGGATTCTGCTAGATATTTGTCTATTAAAATCATCCAAACTGCTGCTAATTTGTGCCAGTGGAAGTTGGCTGAAGTTGCAGCAAATTATGTGGCCCCTTGGTATCATCGTCTACACAACTCTGGTGAGCTTGATTCTTTGGATGAAGATCTTGTTGAAATGATCCGTGCTGCCTCTGTTCGACTTTCTCAAGAGGGCAGCCTGCAGACATTTCCCTAGATGTCTTCTGTCTAGTTGATAGAATATGTTAGGACAGCTTAGAAATTTCATTGGATGCTTATTTTCCGGAGTCCCACAGGACTATGGTGCAATTATTGCATACAATTATAGTATAGGCATTGTGTGTTCTGGATGAAATTTTAGGGTTAGATATGCTTTTCAAAAAAGGGGTAATATTCAGATATGGATTAGTTTATAGATTACCTAGTTAAAACCCGTTTGGGGACAGATTCAAAATTTTGTAATAGAGTTAGAATGTCATAGAAGCAACTTTATACAATGAATGAAACCTCAACGCCTTACACCATTTTTATCAATACTGTTGGTGAATTTCACATTTTGCATTCTGTTGTTTTGATCTTCCTGGATGTAGGGGCTTGTGAGATACAGATGCTATCGCAGAAGGCTTTCATCAGGTAGAAGTCGGCCTTGTAACCCAAGATCAAGTCTATGTGGCAACTTTTACCCAACCGATGTGGGTCACGCAACAAGTAACCCCATCCAAAACATTACCCGTATCCACTTCCCCCGCCATTCCCCAAACCACTGCAACCTTTTCTCTCTCCTGTCATCGTCACCGTTAGTGTCATCTTTTCAGGTCAACCTTAGGACTTTGTCTTCCTCCGATTTCATCTATGGAACCTTCTTCATCAACCTAATCATTGTAACCCTATCCCACGCACATTCTAACACAGGTACCAAAACTAACCCACCCAGTTAACCATAAACTTAGTACTTGTAACCCACCGACGGCTAGGGCAAAAAACTGTTATACCCCTCGCCCAGAACTCCCTTCTCCCCCTCCACTGTGGTTTGAATTTTGAGATTGAGAAATCAGTTCATAGGTGTGTTTGTGCTCGTTTGTGACTAAAGAAGAAGAGGGGGTATTAAACATTGTTTTTTTATAACTAGGAACCCTTCCAAACTTGTGGCATATTAGAACTTTCCTGCAGAGTAAATTCTTCATATTTACAATCACTCCCTAACCATGGGTTGACAATCCGCCCCACATTAACCCTACAACAGTGGGATATCCATGCGAGTTACATTACAATTGTTCAAGGGAAACAATTTCAAAATACGCAGAGATAGGAGCAGGATCGAAATCATCGCAGTATTCAGTCAAAACATTTATCAAATGTAAGTGACTACACTAACACTAGGAATCCCCAAGCAAATGGCGTTAGTTCATGGCCCACCCCAATCTGAATATAAAACTGCAACCAGCATCTACAGTGTCAAATTACCTATCCCAGACCAATAATAGAACCAACCTCTTAGGCACAAAAACAAATCTCTTCCCACCTCCTTGAAATATAATAGTAGAGGCACGTGGGGAATTCTCTTCGGGTCGAACACTGTACATTTCTAACATCTAAAAACCTCCTCATTAAGGAATAGCACAACAGAGCATCAAAATAAGCTCAAGTCAAACAAGCGAAGGAAAAAAAACGGTAAAGTTCAACCGTAATACACAGATAGCCAGCCTAAAACTTAAAGTTCTCCAGTGGCATCACGGAATATAGGTGCAAGTGAATATGTAAATCTGACTACTTCCACGGCTGATATTTGCCTTCATTATGCCAGCATCCTTGGACTCCAAGCACTTTGACAAACTTTTTTTTCCAATAAGACAGCACGGAAGATGCGCAACACATTTAACATTTTGCCTCGTCCAAGACAAGTAAGATGTACTATTCTTCACTAACCAGTTTATTTGTAGCTTTACATTATTACAGCGCAAAGTCAAAGTTTATGCGCCATCACTTCCACCGTCATGGTTGTTAAATCCAAGTACAGGCATGGAGCGCTGCGCAAAATCCAATAGTAGCTTCCTCTGGTGTTCGCTAGTGTGAGGAAGACTTGCACGTAACAGTTCAACCGGCATTTCTTTACTGATAGCTCTTCCTGCATCCGACCCCATAATGGCCACGTCTGATGGAACTTGTGTGACCATCGATTGCATAACAGTATCATATTTGTTAAAGCAGTACTTTGTAAGAAAGCCAAAGAATGCGTCAAAAGAAGCCTGCCAAAAGTCCCGATTAGATATGCTGCAGATGCCAGCAGCATGAGGATCTCTTAAAAGTTCAGTTGCCCTGTCGAGAACAGATTTCAGAATAATTGAAGCCCCATCTCCAGCAGGGCTTCCAAGGGGACGAAGCGGAGGATGCTCTCCAGAACAAACCACCGATGCAAGGCAAGCAGCAAGTGCTTTAAGCTCCATGCCACGAAGACAAGATGAAACATCCCTTGCAAGGCTTGTACCTGTTTCTCCTGCCCCTGGATCAGCAGGGAGACCCCCAAACAAGAACCTTAAATGGCGGAAAATGGCCATGCAGACTATTCGGACGAGCTCACCACCTGGAAAGAGAAGCTGAAGATACCTTGATAGAAGCTTTCGGCCCTTGGGAAGAGAGACTATCCTAAGAAACACAAGATCATCCTTGCGAGCCAAATCCACTGTGTGGCCATTTTTCCCCAGTGGATCAACCAGCTGAAGTGATTCTGCCAACCCTTCCAGCAGGACCTGCCGTCTCTGTTTCAACTGGGCCCCAACATCTTGGAGCTGATTGAATTGTAGGAACCGGTCAATATCATCAACATCGAGAAGAAGACAGAGGCCATCCTCAATAGTTACTCTAGCTGCAAGCATAGGCTCCTGTTCCAAGGGCTTCTCAGACAATTTCTGTTCGGTACTGCCAGCAACAGACAAATTTGGCGGGTCAACTTCAAGAAGTGGGCGAGGCCGTCGAATTGAAGAAAATGAAACCCTCCCAAGAGCATCAACCTGGAGAAAAGCATGTTGCTCGGTATTAGCACGAGGTCGGGAAGAGCTATCCCTCAGATTAGTTGGGCAGAAATGGTGTCTCAACTTCGCACCAGCAGATTTTTTTGTCAAACATGCTTGGTGGTAATAATCATCTACATATGGATCATTGCTGTGTGTAGCAGTAAGCTGTATTCTGAAAATATTCTCAATTTCATCAGATCTCATATATTTGGATCTGAACTGCGGCCACCCACTATCACTCTTCTGGCTACTGGCATCAAAGCCTTGTTGGGTATAACGCATGCCCTGTCTACTTTTTGGCATTGATTTAAGCCTTTGATCTCTCAAATCAGCCAACCCAAGCACATCGAAGTTATTCATCATTTGTGGAACTAGAGAAAGATGATTAAATAGTTGGGACTGAGGCCCTGATAAATGACCAAAGGATGGCTGAAACGGATGGTGCAGTCTGAGTTGCTGAGGTTGCTGTTGTGGCATCAACTGTGGGGGCATTAATCCATTTTGATGGGGTAATTGCTGTTGCAACAGATTATTTGGGATGCTGGAATGATCTCCTGGAAATAGACTGGTCTGGTTAGCCCATTGGTTTTGTGGGCGGCTATTAACAGAGAGACCAGTAGGTGTACGATGGGGCAAATTTCCACCAAATTGTGACCCATGAGATAAGGCAGTCAACTGAAGCTGAGGGTTATTGAAGGGAGACAGGTTGGGTGAAGAAGGGGGCATCTGGTGTCCAGCGGGATGATGCAGAAAATTAGAATGGTGTGACTGATTGTTTGGTGAAGCTTGCTGAAATCTGCCACCAGGTGAAGGATACGAAGACAAAGAAGCTTTTGGTACAAGAATTGGCTCACTGGAGAACTGATGGTGTTGGTGTGGACGATGCTGTTGTTGCTGCTGCTCAGGATATGAAGATGTTCTGTACAAAGGCTTTGATTCCATAAGATGAGCAGAAGAAGAATATGGCTGCGATGACCATCTTTTGCTTTCCTGAGTGCTTTTAGGATCTAATGCATTTTGCTCAAACCAATTAGGAAAATCTGCCTCTTGTGCCCACTCAGTCGCGGATGAACCTGGAACATCACAAAGGTAAAACAAAGATCAAATAACTCTATCAATTGCAGAATAATGCTTCGCCATGGATCTTGCAAAAGCCGTAAGACTCTGATTCCAGCACCAAAACATAACTGCAGTTCAATGCTGTACAAACACAAGATTTTTTGGATCCAAATGTATGCAAGTAGGCAGAAGATAAATTGAAAAAAATACTAAGAGAAGTGAACCAAAAATAAGAATCATCAAAAGCAACCAAAGTTTCATGCCTGCTGCTTAGTGCTTCCATTCCATGTAACTTAGTAGCATGGTCCAGAAAATTACAGAACGACGATCATGGAATGATTAAAAAAAGATACAATGTCATGGCATCAGTGTTTACACCTGATTCACAAACTCCTTGGAAAGTTGAAAGCCACCTTAGTTCAAAAACCAATAACATCAAATGTACATTATCATTTTAAAAAAATGTGTGTAACAACATTTTGTAAGATCATCTTGTTCAACAAATAACATAGTGAATACGTCAACTATTTTAAGATCAAAACTATAGTTTTTCTTGAACGAGCTCTTTTGTCTTAAAAATATTTATTTTTGCTTACTTCAATTCTTTATGTCAATAACCTATGTTAAAGAATGAAAAATGATATATTTAGTCCCAAATTATTCTCAACATATCCTAAACGTATTGGTCGGGTATCCTTGCAGCATCCTAGACATTTCAACCGGGTATCCACGTCGTATCCCAAATGTATCAAAAAAATATTTGAAAAATTAAAGTATCCAATGCGTATCCGGCTATATCTGATATATATTCGGCCAGATCTGAGGTGTACCCGTATTAGAAATGTATCAAATGCAGATACTCCACACTTGATGTACTATCCGTGATTCAAAGGTCAAAGCATAATAATATAGCAATATGGTATCAAAACATGCATTATTTTTCTTATTTTCTAACAAATACACATTGTGAATGTCACTAGAACAAAGCTGACCGTACAATTTTCATGCACGTAATGTATATCATTAGTACAAAAATGCCAGATAGCTGAACAGACTACGATTCAGAATGGTACCATTCAAGACAACATTCCTTCCAAAATAAAAAATGTGCCATTAAGCCAAAGTGACATCTTGCCATGTTAAAATATATTGCTAGTTCAATCACCTGAGTGAATATCCGTAAGCTGCATGCAATACAAACAATAATTGCGCCCAAAAACCATCAAACATGTCACAAGTCCAAAACCATAGTTTACCGCGTGCATTTTTTTTCTACACAGTGCTGAAAGTTGGGACAGGGTGTGGGGTTGCTACAGACCTCCAAATGAGGTAAAAGTAAGGGCATCTTACATTGAATGACAGAAAATCAGGGCCTCGCTGTTTCATAAATAAATTAGTAATTCAACAATGGTAGCAGCTGAAGTCATAGGAAAAGAGGCAGCTCCTTGCTTTCCCAAGCATAAACTACGAGTCTTAAATCACTCCACCCCTCTTTCCCAAAAAAACCAAAACACACATATGAAAAGGAACTAAAATGTAAAATGAAATGAAAAGAAAGAAATGAAAACCTGACATGAAGGATACCCAACAAAATGGGGAAGAACCATCAAGAATTCCAAGGACAAATCTGGTGCTGGAAAAGCCAACAGGAAAGAGGCAATGCAGAACCAAAGCCTTCAAACAATTTCATACTTGCAAATTAATCATGAACAGTTAAGGAATGGTTTGATGTGCTCTGGCTGATTGCAAAACAATACTTTACATTATCATTCTTACATAATCTTGCAGCTACACATAATATTCATAAATGTTTTTATAATTAAAAAAAATAACAGAATTGTGTCTACATAAGAATAAACAATTCATCTCCATCCAACAGCGAATGTGCTGTATGGTAACAACTATATAATAGGATAGATTGTAATGCCCCAAACGAGGGAGTAGATCAAAAGCCTTCTCACAAGTGAATGCATTATCTAGCTATTTTATGATTGCCAAGGAACAGTAGATGCAAGTGTAACCCTAACAAGAAAAATTACAAGGTCAGAAATACAGACTCTTTCAAATATACATTCGATCGAAATCCTAAAGTAAAAAAAAAAGCTCAAATGACAAGCATAATATGCAATAGGTGTACTCACTTTCTCTGGATCCCCGATCACCAACAATTCCTGCACTTCCTGGGCCACTGACAACCTTGTTCAACTATGAATAAAGCAAAATAGAAGTCAAGAAGCAGGATCAAGATAACGTGGAAGTGTAAATGAGAACAATAAAATGACAGAACCTAAGAATAAGGTATCACCATGAAATTAAATTTTTGGAATCTTAAGAAAATTATCGATATGTTTTAAGGTATTTCTGTGCTGAAGGTTAACATATAAAAAAGTATGATTGATAAGATAGATGTTAACCTCGATCTTGGGATGTTCTATGGGTCGGTGGCCTCTTAAGTACTAAGGTCTTCCCTTAGGTGGTAACCCCGTATTGGCTTTTTGGGATCGTATCATTGAGAAAGTTGGTAAAAGGTCGGATTGATGAAAAGAGCCTTTATTTCAAAAGAGTTGGATGGATGAGGATACCATCTAATTGTCTTGTATGGTGAGGAGGATTGAAGGGATGAGGGATTTTTTGTGGGAATAGTGGATCATTTGTTTCAATGGGAGGTCGTGTCTAGGCTAGAAGTTAAAAATGATCTTTTGGTGGATAACATGATAGTTAGAAACATAGAATTAGTCAAAAAATGACATTGGAAGCTTCAATTGGAGCAAAATTCCCGTAACTATTGGTTATTATGAGCAAATATGGTTTACAAAGTAATAGGTGGGATGCTAACTGTATTGAAAGGAGACGTTTTCGAAGCACATGGAAATTCAATTCTCAAGGGTGACCTTGCTTTTCTAAAAATAATAACTTTGTGGTGGGAAATGAGTTGAGAGTTTGTTTTAGAAAAGATAATTGGAATGAAGAGTCATCGTTATCATGTTTATTTCCTCATCCTAGTTTTATTTCTTGCTATCATAATGCTCATATTGCTTCTGGTAAAGTCAAATTCTAATTCAACCTCGGGGAATTTTTGTTTTCATAAAAATTGGAAAAATTCAGAATTGATGCCACTCTTTTTGTGTTGAACAATAGGAACTTTAATAATAATTCTTCGGATAGCAAATATTTCTTTGGATGCTTGATTGATGACATTTTTGTATCCCTTATTGAAGATTTTGGAAGGTTAGAGTGCCTTTAAAAGTACAACTTTGCATATGGATAATAGCTCAAGGAGAAATTAACGCGAATATATGCTTCAAAGAAGAATTCATGTTTATTTTTCCCCATGATGGTGTGTCATGGGTCGATGTGATGGTGGAAGTGTGAATCAATAATTTTTTAGCATGGCTTTGTTAGGTGGCCTCACGAGCCACGCCATCTATGTTTAGTGTGGACTTCAAAAGCTTTGGAGGAGATCAAAGAGATACTACTCTATGAGGTTGTGCATTTCTAACTGTTGTTTGGTCTATTTGGTTGAAAAGATTTTGGCATTAAATTGACTTTTTTGCATCCTTGTGGACCCCAATTATTAATTTTGATAATATTCTTCTTTTTTGCATTTGACAAGTTGGATAGTTTCATGTGGCTTATAAAATGGCCATATGGTTTGTTTGTGCCATGTACTGGGCCATTGGGGTGGACTACACACGTCCACCTTTCTTTCTAATGATCTGCTCTTTTATCATACTTATTAGTAAAATTTTGATTCTTATCAAACCCAAAAAGATAAAAAGAATAAGGCATCACCAACATCAAAATAACCACCACGATGGAGCTGCACTGATAACAAATGGCATGCCAACAATAAGATATACCAGATAACTAATCTTGAGAAATATATTCATTGATTTTTTTTCTTTCTATGGGCAAATTCCATATTTCAATTTTTGTTGCTTTCTAGTAGTACGAATTGAAAACCATGAAACTCAGCGAAAACAAGAGAGCTTGGTTGGTCCAGTAACACCAGTTTTCAGAATAAAAAACGTGTTTTTGAAGAACAATGATGGTTTTCATAACAAATTGTTTTTGGACAAATTCAATAGAGTTGACTAGAAATGAAGACACAATTCAGAATTGTAACTTCAAAGATACCAGAATATAACTCAATTAGATGAAAGTAGTTTCCTATTTTTTTTTATTCTTTAATTCTGGTTTTTGCACCTCTTATGACAGGGTAACAATTTATGTATCCTACACGTGCACTACATGCATACCACATATGATATAACTTTCCTGGAGTGTACTAACAGTAAGTCCTAGCATGCATGATGCCAATTTATCTAGCTTGAACAAAAATAGAAAAGCAGATGCTTTTTGCACAAAAGATTCCTTTATTTATTGAAATGATTAAAGGGCTGCACCGAATACTTTGTTGCAAAACATTCTTGTGCAGTCCTTAAACGCCCATATCTAACAGACTTGAACACTTCCTAAGACAAGTAAACAAACTCAAGAGCATTATCCACATTGCAGCTTAATATAAAACAGTTTCCTAATCAAGGATCAGATTAGTACACTCCCAACAGTGATCAACTAATTTGGAACAAAAAAAACCAAGACAACAAAAATGATAATTAACAAAAAAAGGACAATAAAGTGAATAACACATCCCACTATACAGTGTATCAGTACAAGACAATTCAGGAGCAAGTTCTTAAATCAAAAGCTCAATTGGTAATACCCAAAAAATAAAGCAAAAAAAGGAAAAAATATGTGTCCCCAAGAATAGCGTCTAATTTCTATACAAGAGGGTTTAGAAACCTGAAAAAGGATGTAATCCTTCATTTTACAGGAATTTTAAATGCTCCCACTAACTCCCAAGTCCCAACTGCTACTCAAAGTTTTAATGCATTTGAAATAAACAGTAAACACAGAAGACCAAGATCAAATAGCAGAATAGGAATTCCAAAATATATATTCCATCAATTATTTTAGCATTTAGAATAACCAACCTTTGAAAATGTGCTGGCAAGATCATCAATTTCAGATAAAGATCCTAATTCTTCACCCTGCAAATGAGAAAACAATTACTCACACAATTTAGTGATAAAACGATATAAGCTTACAACCAATGCCCAAATGAAATCACATCCACACCCCTTAAAACACCTAAATATATTTGCAATTCACAAAGTGCATTTGTTCACAAAGTAGGCTACAAGGCCATGCAAGCACACGCGAATGAAGCCACACACATTTGTCTCCCAATTATGCACCAAAATTAGTACACTAGTGTCTTGTCTGCCACAGGGTGGGGCCTCAGCCAACTCGATACGACCCTTTACAAATGGAAACCAATAAACATAAGTAAAACAAATACCTAATAGATTTTCCCACTCAATCAAGTCAATGCATTTCAAAAAGATATAAATAATCCAGAATACTCTCCATCAATAACTATTTTCATAAAATCCAGAGCCAATCTTCAGGAAGTTCTTTCTAAGATATTATCTTTGAAAAAAAAATACATTATAAGGAGAATGCTGGAAAAGTAAAAAAAAAAAATCTAACTTCCTTTATCTTGAAACAGTACACATGATCTGAGAAGCATAAATAATAATCCAAATTTGCAGAGATAATAGAACACTATCTATTCCACATCTAAATACCAAAAATTATGAAACAAGCCATTACTAGTAAAACAAAATTCTGCCCCATTCACCATGGACAAAACAAAAAACCAATCAGTTTGGTGCAACAGCATCAAAAAACACAAAGGCATAAAACCACCAACTCGAAGTGTAAAAAATTAATTAACCTCTTCTTGATCCAGCTGATATACTTCATCACCAAACCCAACTTCAGGAAGATCATCCTCTTCATCTTCTAATCCCCCCAACTCAACTTCTTCAACATCATTATTCCCGAAGAATGCATATTGTGATGCATCAAATACTGCATCTACTGCATCACAGAAGAAATAAAGAGAAGATAAAATCAATCAACACTAAAAACTAATGGAGACAAGATCAAGGGTACAGTGTAATCAGCAAAGGGAAACCAGTCATCTAGTTGGTGCGAGCACGCATTGCAATCAAATGCCACTTCAAATACATGAAAGACCCAAACTTAAAGCTTCAAGCACATACTGGAATCAGATACCACTTGAAATACATGAAACCCTAAAACTTAAAAAACTCTCAAATCTTATTTGAATGAGCCTTATATTCAGTTCTGAAACCGAAGACAGGCGTTTTAGTTGGGACTAGATTTGCATATATTCCAAAGAATGAAAGAAACCTCAACATCAGGCACGACACAAAACCAAAATGACTCTATGAAACAGACTGGGCATAGTAAAACTCTGACCATCAAATAATAGCGTTGGTCAGAAAAAAACTTTTTAAGGCCTCTGAAGAACTCATTGAAACAATAAATCTACTCTACCTTCTGGATTTATCCATAAAAAGGGTTTGACTCTGTACCTTTCATCGTTTGAGACCAAAGAAAGCAACTGAGGTTTATCTAACTATTCAACCCAGTTAATAACACTTCGTTAAAACAACATAATCTTCGAATTCATATATTTTTGGTTTTTTTAGCGGTAAACAAACTGGTAATAAAGCTATAATGGAACTACAAGTGAGCATCGGAAATTAAACGCAAAACCGGATCTAGAAAAAAGTAAAACAGTTCGAAGATCAAAAGAAGAGATAAAACTGATATATAACAAAGCAAACCTGACGAACTGGCGCCGAATTGATTAAGATCCTGAGGGTTGGAGGACTCTTGAATAATACCCCCACCTTCAAATCCATCCATACGTACACTTATACTAAAGATAAACAAAACCCACGAATTCCTCTTTTAAACCTAGCAAAACCTAGAAATTAAAAACTATTTTCTGAAAAAAAAAAAATCTAAACCCAAAAATATAAAGCCCTAAAGACAAAAATCGATAAAGAGAAAAATCAAGACAGCAGAGGTGCGTGTGAAACCCTTAACCGATAAACTCTAGGGTTTCTGCGAGGAAAGATCTGTACAATTGATTGGGAAGCTAAGGAGACTCATTTGTGGAGTGAAAAAAGAATTTGTATTTCTTTTCCGCAATGACGAAAGGACCCTAGATATAGGATAACGATTACGCAATTATTTCCACTTTTGTTTCTAGAGGAGGAGGACAGTTGTGAGAGAAAAAAATATTTTTTGACAACGAAAAAAAAAACTGCTTGGCTTGTGTCTTGTGTGACAGATTTTTTTCTTATTGTTCAAAGGAGAAAAAGTGCCTAAATAAGTTACAAGTATCTCGACTAATTTTTTTCTTAATTCGATAAAAAATAAATTATTTATGTCAAAATTAAAATATTTATAAAGAATATATTTCTCATGATCTGACCTCAAAAAATTATTTAAAATTTAAATTTAACACGTTTAAGTTATAACATATATCTCTTACCACTTGAACTATCCTTTTAAATTTCGTGTGACATATTAATGTTAGATCACGTGGCAACTTTAAGGTATGAAAAAGAAATTAATAATGTATTAAAAATTAAATTATGAGAAAATTATAATCATTTGACATAAATTATATCAATCATAAAATATTATAATCAATTATAAATTAATTATAATTTATTTTTCAAAAATATAAATTATTTTTAAAAATTATAAATTTTAGAACAATACTATTGAGATATAATTTGAAAACTTAATGATTGTGATCATTAGATTATCAATAGATTCCAATATTAAAGTATCACTAGGTTCTAATACTATGAATTAAATAATTATAATACATTAAATCTTCAAATTATATCTTTAAATTAAATTTCAACAGTGATGATACACAAAACTGTCTTCGTGCAAAATTAACAGTCAAGTATGTGTAAGGGTGCAATTAATGAGTGACAAACAAGCAATCAATGACAATTAAGTGTAAAACAGTAAATAATAGATCAACACAGGGATTTATAGTGGTTCACTTGGACCTACTCCACTTTTGAAAACGGCAGCGGTGATCTGATGTTCTTTATTGATGAATCATGGTTTCCGGAGAGTTACAGTGCTTTTGAGAAAGAGAGAGAGATAAGTGCGGAGAGGTTTTTGAGGTTTCAAGGTGTAGAAGTCTCAAGAAGGTCCTTGGAGGTGTTCTCCGGGCCTTCATGTTGATAAGGCTTACATTATATAGCTAAGGTAAGGTAGTAGAGGCGGTGACGTGAGGGAGAAGAATTCTATTGTTTTGGCAAGTATTGCTATGGTAGGAGATCTTTTATATCTATCTCCATATTATCTTCTCTCGTGCTCCTATTCATCCGGAGGAGAACATTAGTTAGACCTGGACCTGGACTTGTTTTGGACCTGAACTTGGACCTAGACTTGTCTTGAGTAAATTTGGCTTGAATCTGGACCTAGACTTGAACTTGTCTTAAGTAAGTTTGACTTGGACCTGAACTTAGACTTGTCTTAAACCTAGACCTTGAGTATCAAGGTGAGGAGGGCGCCCAAGGGCCTGGCATGGGTGGCACCCAAGGGCTCCCTTGTCCTCCTCCTTCTTCTGCCGTTGATTTTTGATGATGTCCTCTTAGTGTTCTCCACGATAGATCGACAATGGATACCTCTTTGAATTTTCTTGATTTATTTAAATTAGATTTGATCCAATAAAATCCGAGCTCATCAAATAGCGTTAGTGTAAATTTTAAAGTGACGGAGAGAATAAAGAGCTGCACCGAAAGATACACCTCTGAATGGAGACCCCAGTAAGCAAAGTGTCAAAAGGAATGGGACCTACAGCTTGGAGTCGTGTGGATGAACTAAATGAGTTGTGTTGATAATAGATTATTTCTAAGGGGCACTTAAGTCATTCGCCTGGAAAATTAGTGTTTGTATTTACAAAAAAAAAAAAAAAATTAAAAATGAAGAAGGGAAAAAAAACCATAAACTCATTATGATCGAGGAAAAATTTACTCCTGGGTTTGGGATATATTCACTTTTCAGATACTGCACTAGATGTTCTACACGTACATGCATATTATTTTGGGATAATAAAAATAATGTTAGAGATTGTGATAAATATAAGAGAAAATTATATCTGTATTCTTAAAGTTTGTCACTAAATCACATAAACCTCTCAGGCATGAAAAATAACATCACAAATTTGGTCTCGTGTAACATATAACCCCAATTCGTTAACAATCATTCGTCAAACTTTAATCATGTCAGCATATTTTTCTTATAAATTTCTCAAACTACTCATATCTCACTCAAAAATAAAAAATAAAAATTTTCAATAACTATTTAACCTCTTTAAAAATCCAACAAAATAGAATACGTATAATATTAGGGTTTGGGTCAAATTGGCTTTGTTTGACTTTTTTAAAAGGGTATAATGGTCAATTTAAGATTTATGTTAGATTCATTAGTTGACCGCTATTGACGGGGGGTGTCAGTTTTATTTTATATACCTGATGAGAGACTATCTTATTTAATGACAAATCTCAGGAAATTCGAACATAATTTTTCCTAAATATAGATACCTACGAGGAGTTGCTAAACTCTCAAATTAATAAATAATTATCCTTATACTAAAACTTATCAAGAATGATCGTTGTTTTTTTCGGTCTATCATCTATAATGATATTGATTCGATAATCCCTTGTAATTTTCAAAGAGGTTTTAAGGCAATCCATACATGTTATTTTTTGTCATATTGAGAAAAAAGTAATGTTATTTTGTAGTAATTTATTAACTCAAATTGTATGTATTATCTATAGTTTTTGATTAGTTTCTTGTTCTTTATATATAGAGGAGGAGAACGGAGTTCTTCCAACTTCTTAGTAATTTAACAGAGATATATAATAATAGTAATTATTATATATTAATGGGGGGCATTTGATAAGTTTATTGTCCTTTTTATATACATGTGAGAGACTAGTCCCTTGAATTCTTAAAATAATCGCTATTAAATGACTCAAAGATATATATATATATATAAGTTTAAAAGTTAAAAGAAAATTAATACAATAAAAGATGGAGAATACAAATATTCAAGTGAATTTAATAATCAATATATACACTTAATATGGGAAAGCAACTCTTGGATGAATTGCAAAATTAACTTTATAATTAATTAAGGCAAAAAATGAACTAAGGATTAAATTGGCTTTGTAGCATTGTTCAAGCGTGTATTTAAAAATATTTTTTTTCACTTTTATTGATATTTTATAGTAGTATAGATATAGATATACATATAGATATAAATGTTTGTGGTATTAAATTTAATTTTTTGTACTACCCTAAAAATTAATTTTTAGCCATTGATTTTTGTTTGAATTATTCCTAAATTTTGGTCTTAAACATGATACAATAAAATAATAAAATTTAGCACATGACATTTTAAGATTAGACAAAATATAAGATATAAAACCCTTTTTTGTTAAGAGTTTCAACAACCCCTATGAACAAACCTCAAAATGAAATACATGATCGTAGTTAAAGATAAAATTCATTTGTGTAACATGAGTTAGGGCCGATAATTAAGCTGAATTATTCGGGCTTGGCTTAGATAGGACTCGACTCTAGCTCAACTCGTGTTTTAAACGAGCTGAGCTTGAATAATTTTTTAGGCTCGTTTAAAAAACAAATATAAAAAACTCGGTTCGTTTATATGTAAAATAATCCAACTATTCGGATTCGGTTTGGGTTCGGCCCGCTTTGGGCTAAGCTAGGTTCAGATTCGACTCATTTTCTAAACGCGTCAAGATTGAATAATTTTTTAGGCTTGTCTCAAAAATGAGCTTGACAGGTTTAGCTCGATTATCAGTCCTGTTAATGATAAGCATAATGATTTCTGATGAATTAAAAACCCAAACATTTACATTCCATTTGGAGATTGGTTTACTTTTTTTTTTTTAAGTAATGTTTATTTTGTTTCTTAATAATTTTAACTGAATTTCATTGTTTTTTCTACTGTAAGCGTCTGTATGTAATACATTTATTTGCACATATAACACAAAAATACATAAATGGTTTAAAAAACATTACTTTACTGGCATATTTAAATTTAGTACAATTTGGCCCAATACCATACCGATAATACATTAGAATGTATCATCACCTCCCCATTGAGTTCTTATTCACTACGCATGTTTGATCCTTTCACTACTTACCCGCTTCTTTTGGCGATTTTGGCCTTCAAACCATTCTTCATTTGAAGTATGATGGAATCACTGGGGGAAATAGGATGATTTTCTGCCACTTCAACTTGGTAATTATGTATAATGGTGGTGGCAACCATTTTCATTTGAATGAAAGCCATCTCCTTACCTAAACAAGTCCTAGGTCCTGCATTAAACGCGGGAACTTGAAAGATGGTTCATGTTTGATTCCTCCTCGCTCGGAAATCCATCTCTCGGGGATGAATTCCAAGCAATTTTTGCCCCATATTGTCTCCATTCTTCCCATGGAATAGAAAGATAGCACTATCTTTTGATTCTGATCAATCCGATGGCCACTTGGAAGGATGTCTGGTTGAGCCGGCGCCTTGTGCTCCAATGCAACTGGTGGGAATAGCCGTAAAGATTCACACAAAGCTCCATGCAGGTATACAAGTTTTCGCGATTCTTCCACATTGAAAAACCTCCATTTCTGGCCTGGTTTCACTTGCAATTTTGTTTCAATCTCTTTCAGGATCTTGATTTCTACAAAAGGGTTTTTTCCAAGGAGCCAGAAAAACCAAGTGAGGGCTGTACTTGTGGTGTCTCTCCCAGCAATCATCAAATTTAATATGGTGTCTCTCAGAAACTTACCAGTATCCCCAGATATACCACTATTTTCTTTGTCGTAGGCTTTCATGAAAGCTGTCAACATGTCAAATTCCTCCTCTTGGCCTTTTGACTCTTCTGTTTTACTCAACTTTTCGCGCTTCATAGATATACAGTTGAATATAAACTGATCAAAAGTTTTAGAGGCCTTACTCAGGTATTTCTCTTTACCAATTTGAAGCCAGTTTTGCAACTTCCAAAGACTTTCTGGCAATATGTGCCTGTGCAACAGTGCCTCCTCAGTCGCGTTGAATGCCTTTTCGCAAGGTATGTATGGCAAATCAGTGGAGAGACTGCAGGGGTCGTAGTCCAAGACCAGTGTACAAACACTATCAAAAGTGAACCTCTGAAATAGATCCTGCAAATCCACCTCTACATCAAGCTTTGAGACTAGTTCCAGGACTGTGATTAGCCCTTTTTCCACCTTGTGCCAGACAGATTTCTCTAGCAGATTTTGAAACTTGGTGTGGTTGATCAGTGACATGGTGGTTTTCCGATGAATTTCCCACAATTCCGAGTCGGCATTGAAAATCCCATCTCCCAGAATATCAAATATCTTTCTGAATTCAGGGCCCTTTGGGTAGTTTGAAAAGTTTCTGCTTAAGATATGGTGGATATTGGCAGGGTCAGCAGTGACCACCATGTCCATATCGGCAAAACATGGGCCTTTAAGTTCAAAAGTGCCTCCACTTTCTCTAATAACATCGGTTGCAAACTCATGGAGACGATGAGCGTTACGAAGTAGCCCGGGCAACATACCAACGAAAGGCCAATTTGTGGGTAATGAGCTTTTGTGCCAATTCTCTCTCATCAAGCGCCATAGAAAGATGAACAAGAGAAGCATTAAGACTATCTCAGAGAATCCTATGGTGGCCATTGCAGCAGAAGGAGCTGTGTTTGACTTCAATGTCTCCATATCTCTACTCTTGATAGTGCTATATCTAAGCTAGTACAGATAAGCATTCAAGCAAATAATCATAGCCAGCAGCTTACAGGTAAGCCTTGATCGTCCAATCACAGTCCAAGTAACGTTCTTATCCTCAGTTATCCAATCAGCTTTTATAAGGCACAAGTAATTAAATAGATGTTTCTGAAACATAGGGGGCGTTGGTTTAATGTTTTCATTTTTTTGGAAAAATAAAATTAAAAACCTGTTTGGGATGTGTTTTTTTTTTTTTTTTAAGATAAGTTATTTTCAAAACAAGACCCAAAAACCCAAAGCGAGAGCAAGACTTTGGCCATTCCATTGTTCATGGACCATGAACAGCTTTTTAGATTTTATTTTTGGGAAGACATTCACCAATTGTTGTTGCCTTTTTTCTTATCCGGAATCGACTCATTGATTAAACGAATTTATGCTCCGCTCAAGTTCATATTGACAAGCAACACAAGTAGTTGAATAATGCAAATCCAATTTTAATTGGAATTATTTTGCATTTTGGCTAAGAACTTGAACCAATGAACTCGACCAAGGATAGACAAACCAAACAAAAAATACTCATATTTCAAATTATGATCCAATTTTACATTTGGATTGAGACAATTTGTTCACCGATCTCATTCTTGGATACATGGTGTGAATAGAGGCATTAAGGTGATGAGTCGTGACTTCTATAATCTTTAGGTGTTAAAACAGAGTTGGGGGTGCAAATGGGCAAACCAAAGCCAGAGCCTCAAAGCATATTGGTGGTGGTTATAGGTATATAGATGTCAATGAACTGGTCCTAGGGGTGGGTCACAGCCCCCATCCATCATTCCTATAATTGCATGCTGCTTGAACTGCAAATTGGGCTACTTGAAAATGACCATACATTGGGTTGCCATAAAATGAAGACTATTAAGTTGGTTGAAGCGGATTATGTCAAGTTTAGAAGGCTATAAATATATTAGAGGTGTCAATTTTAATCCACCATCCATTAATCCACTAACCCGTCTATAAATTAATGGGTTGGGTACTTATATTAATTAATATAAATTTTAAATAGGTTGAGCAATATCATTCATTTTAATTAAACGGGTTAATATGAATTACAAATGGGTACTCATTGGGTTGAGTATTTATTTTTTTATTAAATAAGACAAGTAATAAAATTAAATAAATATACTAGTATACAAAAAAATATACACACTATTATACCAAAAAATACACACTTGTACACTAATACACAAAAATATACACACTAATACACCACTCATAATGCACAGGTCAGCCCATTACCCACATGGCAACCCATAACCCCCGTGGGTTGACTTATAACCCATGGGTCGAGCCACAACCCACATATTGACTTATGACCCGTAGATTGACACATGTGGGTTGCCCCATAGCCCAAATCATCCCGACCCATTATCTGTGTATTTTTTTTATTAAATGTATTTTAATTTTTGTGTTAATATATGTGTGAGTATTTTTGGTGTATTAGTGTATATTTTTAGTGTATTAGTTTGTGTGTGTTTTAGTGTATTAATGTGTGTGTATTTTTGTATTTTAGTGTACTATTAATGTGTGTGTGTATATTGATATCCTAACGTGTCCATTAAGAATTTTAATTATTTTATGGGTTAATCGGTTTAATCCAATCCGTTATAAACTCAATCCATAACCAACCCAAACGCACCCATTTGCCACCTCTAAAATATATCATCAAATCATATACAATTACATTGAGTTATTTAGTGATATACATCAAATTTCACATAATATTATCGATTTATGATATTTTAAAATTTTATTTATTAAATTACGACACTTTTAAATCATCAAATCATATACAATTACTTTTAAGAGTGAATTATTGAGCTTAACTGTCCTTTTGATTTATCTGATATTTTAAAAATATTTATTAAATTACGACATTTTTTAAAAAAGTGATCGTAAACTTTAATAAATAAATTTGAAAATATCGAGCTCGTTACCGACATCATAAATAACTCCAATTAGATTAGTCTACTTATAATTTGAATAAGTTAAAAACAAATAATAAAAAAATCATATATTAATTTTGTTAATTTGAATAATTTGAATCAAATTCAAAAAATCATTTTTATTTATTTTTTAAAAAAGTCTTTCAGTTTGCTGGTGATAACTCCAATCTATCAAAATACAATTGCCGTAACAATTGATAGGCAGGCATGTTTTGAACATCAAACTCGATAGCCCCCAAAAACGTTCCCTTTTAATTGCTCCCGCTAAGAACCCCAAACTCCAGCATCTCTGTTTGTCTCTTTCTCTTTCTTAGATTGCTGCTGTCTTAGTCTCGTCTTTTTCTCCCAGAAATTTTTGCCTCGTGTATATCTCCACCCTATCTCTATATCTTCAAAACTTATATACATCAACCAATTGATCATCCACCTTATTTTCGTTGATCTATTTTCCCATACCTTATTACAAATCGTATTCTGAAATCTCAGATTTTGTGAAATATTATTAGATTTGTAGCTTTTGTTTTTTTACCGAATTCGAAGTTTGTGGTATTTTGTAGTCTGTAGTTGAGAGTTCTAGCAGATATAGATTATAAAGATTAGTGATGGCGTCTGCATCCATGAACAAGATCGAAAGAGCTCATCAGATGTACAGGGAAGGTGGATATGAGGAAGCGCTGGGGTTTTATACGGAAGCGCTTGCGATTGCCAAGACCAATCCCCAGAAGATCGCACTCCACAGCAATAGAGCCGCATGTTTCCTCAAACTTCACGATTTCAAGAAGGTTCGACTATTTCATTGTTTTTTTTTTTGCTTACATACATACATGCATAATTGGCACTTCAATCATGAAACTAGACCAGTTTATTAGTAATATTCAATTAACATGATAGTTATTGTTAATAGCTAATAATTTCAATGTCGGCCATCATAGCTCTGGTGCTGTCGTCTAAGATTAATCACCAACAGGCAATTAATTGGTTAATTGCACGTAACCTAGGATTCAAGTTGCAGAAACTTCGGTCCCTGGGGGCCTGGTGGATGTATAAAGGGGACCCTTTTGTACAGAAGAAAAAAGGTAAAAGGTTACTTTTTTATATTGATAATTTGACCCACTTAAAGAGAAATGGGTGGTCTCAAAGCTAACTCAGTAGCAAGAGTATTTTGTTAGCTATATCTTAACAAATGATTTGTGAACAATGGGAAAAGTTTTCTAGATGACCAAGATGTTACTATAGCTCGAGCAGAAGAGGGCATGGTGATTTCACTCTGTATACCCCTTAAATCAACATCGTTGGCCTCAATAGATTCATACGTGATTAGAATGATTTCATGCTAAGGATTCAGCTGTACGCACCCGTCTTTCTGAGAGATAAAAAAAGAAAATAAAAACTTCAGCTTAACATATTTGTTATGAAGTCATTTTAGCCTACGTGACGTGCACCTTCTATGCTGTGGTGGTAGCATATGTTGTTTGTCTTTAACATGTATATCATACCACTATGGCTCATGTCTCATTCTCACTGTAAAATTGTAACTAAGTTCTTCGCTATGGTTATGAGCAACTTGTTTGGTCACTCTTAACATGCGAAGCAGCCAATTGATAGCTCTTCTATGATCGCTATATTCTTGCAATAGCGAAGGGTTGAAGAGAGAAGTTAGGGCTTTAGGCAAAGAGCGATAGTGAAACCTTTAAGTCTTATTGTTTTGTTACCGAACAATGATCATTCAGTACATCCGGGCTGGCCAAACACCGAAAGCCTGGTCTGGGTGAGCTATATTATGGAATTGGGTCTAATGGAACAAGATCTCGATTTCAACAAGGAATTGTTATCTGGTGAATCTGGTAAGAATCAATGAAATAACGAGGTTGAGCAGTGACGTGGAGCAATAGCGAAGGTGTGGTTCATCCGCATAACTGCATATGATCTGTATAGATTATAGAAACAAGCAAATTTGTCATCTATGTCTTTTATTGTTGTGTATATATGTATCCTAAAAGTGGTCCAACTTGATAAAATTGTGATGTTTGCTTCAGTTTGAATTTTATTTATGTTGCCTGTTTAGCCTTTAAAAAAAAGCAAATACCTGCCATACTTAGGCCAAGGTACACTCCTGTGAGTTTTTATGTGATTGCAATGCTCGGGTGAACTTTTTATAGGTAAAACTGGAACTTATTCCCTTAGCGCGTTGATGTTTTGAACCCCCCTTTTCTGGCTCTTTTTCCTTTTATTTCATCTACACAAAAGATTTTGGGCAAAATGCTGCATAGTGCCTGGTTTCTACTGGTTTTGAAGTACACTGATACTATCTGAAACGTATATAGCGCCTAGAAGGGATGTTAGTATCATTTTAGATAATGCAAGGGATCTCCCTTGGTTAGGGCAATGTCAAGGAGGTGTGGCTTTGTCTGGAAAGTAGTCTATTGTTTGAGTCGGTAGCGCAACCACCCCCCATGCAGCACCCTTCTTTTCATCTTCTCTACACGTTTTGGAAAGACAATCTAATTTACCAGTGGGATAGTATTGGTAGAACTTGTTTCCTTTGAATAATTGGTGAAGATTGAAAATAACAGCCTCAAACTTGCTCATTTAGTAGGGGTCATTATCTTGGAAGATATATTCCATTTGTGAAGCTAAGCAACGTGTTGATAGAAACAACTGAAGTACAGAGGATGTCCTGTGTTGTATGATTTTCTTGTTGTCAATATAATTCCTTAAAGCTTCTGGGGAAACATGTCATTTCTGCCATAGGGTGTATATATCTTTGCAAAGGTTGGGTTCATGCTTGGTTCTTGTAACACCTTTATTTATTATGTTATGCTGCCTATCTTTTGCACAATGGAGCTATGCTCTTTCTTTTTAATAAATGTGCACCTACTTGTCATTGGAAAAAATAAAATCGAAAAATGGTGTTTGACTCTCATCAGAAGCTTTTGGTATAAATAGACTGATATTCTCACTTCCATCTTAGGCAGCAGAAGAGTGTACCTCGGTGCTTGAGCTTGATCACAAGCACACTGGAGCGCTAATGTTGCGGGCTCAAACTCTAGTCACCCTCAAGGAGTATAACTCAGCACTTTTTGATGTCAACAGGCTTATTGAGTTGAATCCATCATCGGAAGTGTATCGAAATCTTCAAGCCCGTTTGAAGACACAATTGGTAGTTCCTTCCGTTCTTTTTTCTCTTCCTTTTGTGTTTGCCTTAATTTTTTTTTTTTGACATTTTCAAGCAGCAGTTAGGCAGTCCCATACTCCCATTTATAATATATATTAATTTTATACTTCTTAGTTTCTGTTTTATGATGTACTGTTGTGGAACAACTTAGGATCTAAGACCATTATAATATACCCAATGGTAGGAGTAGGATGCCATGAGGCCCTAGGATAGGATTAGTCACGAGGTTGACGCCTTGGAAGTGGCCCTTGTCACCTGCTGTTAATAATTCAGAATATTTCCTATATTTTATACCCAAAGAATGTTATAACTGGACTCCTATCTGAATGAATGCGGCAAACTTCTGTACCTACTACATGCAGGCTTTGTACTGAGACTCATTTTATTTTCCGCAACAAGATTAAAGTGACAAAGAGTCTTCTCCCCTGGGCCAAAACTGCAATGCCGCCTCTCTCTTTCTCGCGCGCACACATACACAAACACACACACGTGGTTGAGGTTTGGGATTGATTCAGAATTTCCAAATACATTTAGCATCAGAGATATCAATTGTCTGATCTTGCAGCAAAATCAACTCTTTCATTATATTTTTCTCTTCTTGTCCTTTCTTTTTTAACAAAAAAACCTCTTTAAACAGCTTTAGTCTGTCTATAGTCTTTATAATTATCGTAGCAGAAATATGTATTTACAATTGTTGATCTGTGCGCCAATTTATGATTTTGTAACTACTGATATCTGGGCTGTTGATAAGAGATTGTATTTTTGCTCAAGGAAAGTCACTTGCTCCAATACCTGAAGCTGAGGCCGAGTTAGAAGAAGATGATGAAAAAACAGATGAAGCAGTAGTAACAGAAGATGAGGAAAAAATAGATGAAGCAATGGTAACAAAAATTGAGGAAGAAGAACACGAAGAAAAAGAAGTGGAGGATGAAGGAGAAGGCAGTAGAGATATGGCAGATGTAGTAGGAAGAGATCAAAAGGCTGAGCTTGAAACGACCATTTCTAAGACTGATGACACTAGTTCTCAAACTCAAAGCATCAAGGAATTATATGAACCTCATTCCTCAGGATGGCAGGCGATCCCAAAACCGAAAGGGCACTCGCACCTTGACTACTCGCGGTGGGACAGAGTCGAAGATGATTCTAGTGATGATGATGATGATGATGAAGACGACGATGAGTCTCAGCCTCAGTACCGGTTCCGTGTGAAAACTGTGGGTGTACGACCTGTTAAGGGAAATGGCAGGATCACATGATGCAGTCATATAGATTGACTCTTCTATATGTCAATTTGCTTCATTGATGAAGAAGGCTGTGTGACATTTTAAAATCAGCATTGTATGTGGAAAGCTCTGGTGGGTTCAGTCCCTGTAGTTATTATTGAAACTTGGAGCTGTAACGTGTGGGAAACCAGCTTCCCTGTGCTCTGAGTTCGAAATCGGTAAGTAGCCCAACATTTGAACTGATCTGACCGGAGAATTGGTATTTAAAAGATCTCTGTCTCGGGCTAAGTTGGTGTGAGGGATCTCTGCCTCAGGTTAAATTGATGGGTGATGTCCTGTTTTTAACCAATTCACTTTCTTCATGCTGCCAAACTTGTGGAGGAACTGCCTACTAACAGCCGAGCCTGGAGTGGTTCTATTTATGTATTTGTTATCTGGAGATTTGCTTTGCATGCCAATCATAGTACAAGGTCTCAAATTCTTTTAATGATCTCCCCTGATTGCTGAGGGGAAATAAAAAAAAAAAAAATCTGGTTTTTTTGCTTCCAAAGGGGAGGATGCCCTTGTAATTTTTACCATTGGGGGATACTTGTACATCGGGGGTTAAAGTTGAATCCATGAGCTCTGTTATGAGATAAATGTTTGTAATTACTTGAATTTATAGTATTTTACGTTGTGTTACGAGAAGAAGGTGAAGAAAAAGGTGACATGGAATGGAACCAATTCTTCTAAAAAAGAAATACAAATGTGGCATACTTGCTGCATCCTTTTCATATCCACTGTCATCAAAGAACTCTCTATCATACATCATATCATCTATTTTCGACCCAAACCTTTACTTTTGGGGTACCTGTTCTCGACACCATATTATTATTTAATTTTAATATCGTGATATTATCCGAGTCTAAGACTATCTATCTTGTGGGACTTTTGACACCATAGTATTGTTTGAGTATAAGACCATACGAGAAAGATTATGATACCAAATTATAATGAAGGAGTTATAACTTATTGAACTAATTAATAATCAGTCATAAAATGCGTTTTTTTTGGGTTGTCAAGTACTATCCAATAATTTTTTATCTTACCTTTGTTTTTCGGTATATAAAATGGATCAAGATTTTATAACACATAGGTTTGGACGAACATATGTTTTGGGAATTAAAAAATAAATTTGGTCGTTGTAGAGACTTTAATCTAAACACTGGGGCAAAAAACATTTGAATCTACTAAAGCAATGGCTCGGTGATAACAATCTTTATCTTACTATCCAAAAAATGGACCTTCATTTAAGTGGAAGTCCATTGGGAGGGAAACACAAAAAATTCAAACCCAGACAACCAACCGCAAAACACGACGTTAGCTACCAGACACGTTCCTAGAAATCGAAGAGAGAGAAAAAGCTAAGCAAAGAAAAAAAATTGCTTCCTTGTCCGACGTCGTCAGGTCTCAATCCTCTGCAACCTCACCCTTCCTGTCTCTGCATTCTTCAATTCAAACCCAAAATTCTCATCTTCAGACATTATTGTCCCAAAAAACTAGGATTTAGGAGAGAGAATTTGTGGGCGTTATTATTATTATTATTATTATAATATTTAAAAAAAAATAAAAATCGGAGATGTCGCATAGCAGTACGCAGAGCAGTGGAAGCGGACCAGACTTCCACCTACCGGACGAGATACTGTTGGTGATCCCTACTGACCCGTACGATCAGTTGGATCTAGCTAGGAAGATAACGTCAATGGCGATTGCGTCGCGCGTCTCCAAATTGGAGTCCGAGATGGGGAGGCTGAGGCAACAACTACACGACAAAGACAGCGTAATTGTGGAGCTCCAAGACAAGGTTTCGCGACTCGAACGAGCATATCACGAGGCAGAATTGGGCTTAAAGATCACTCGTGAGGATAACGTATGGATTTCTATTGATCTTTCTTTTTTTCTCTCTTGTTTTTTCCGTGACAATTGGTTTCGGAGGATTAGCAATCTCATGATTTATTTACTGTAATCGTTTGATTTTTGATTGAAGATGAAGCTCTCGAAGGAGCGACATTCGTTGGCCATTACGGCGAACAAACTAAGCCGTGATTTGTCAAAGGTAGCACTTTTTTTTCTTTATATTTCCAGCTTGAATGTAGTTGCTATTATTCTTGGCAATTCTCACCGAACGTATATTTTTATGTTTTACAACTGCTCTGCTGCTCTGAGTTATACAGTCTGTGAAAGAAGATGGAAAACCTCCCTAATTGAAATTTGATTTGCATTGTCCAAAGAGAACATCTTTAACACGATAAGAGTACTACTTTTAATGCAATTCCAGTCAGAATTTTATAAAATAGTTACTGAGTTTTATGGAATGCTCAAGCACCTGTCATAATCTCAAAACAAGGATTATTGCTTTCCGAAACTTTTCTTGTCCCTCTTGATGAGAAATTTTCCTTACTGTCAGCATCATAGATGAAACTCACCCTCTTTTTCTTTTATTTCCTTTTTTTTTTGTTAATAAAGTAATGCATATATTGGGAGTGGGATGAACAAGGATGTTTATTTTTTAAGACCGCAGTTTCTGGCCTTCTGCCTCAAGTATAGTTTTGTCAGTGTGATGCACATGATTTTCAGGAGAAGTTATAGTTGCCTCACAAATATTGTATCACCTTAGACTTAGTAGAGAGAAGTAGTATATGCTGTATCATGCTAGTTTGCAAGAATAAAGAGAACTGCTGTGTTTTTGTAACTATCATTTTTTATCCAATACAAACTGGCCCTTACCAGTAGTGTGAATATCAAGGTTGTAGTAGTACAGGATTTAAAACTAAAGAAGCAGTGCCAACGTTGAGAAACTTAGAATTCAAGAAAAAGAAACATGTGAAACTAGGGAAGGAATTTGAGGAAACATGAAGGCCAACGGATTTGAACCTTATGTGGACTGTTAATCTTATTGTCTCTTCCATGAATGTTCTGGTCGTGGCTTGATTTTAGGAGCGTATGATTAGTAGTGTGATTCAACGTTGATCACTTGCAACACTATGAGGTAGGATGCTCTCATCTGTGTTATTTGCTACCCAAGGATGCATCCTGTTGATTGAAAAGGTTCAAATTGGTTGTCGAGAAATTCAGCATAATTTTGCACAGGATTCACTATAAGCTAGGTAGTTCACACCACTATAGAGTCCAGTTTGAGTGGGTGTACATTTTGAACTCATTGCAAGGAGATTATATTTAAGCTTTAAGGTTTAAGCTGAGGAATATGGAAGAAGAGGAGCGATTACATTTGGTGGCTGAATATAGATCCTTGGCATTGTTATTTGAAGGTTCTTGGTGCTAAACTTAACCTTTCCAAGTAGCTGCTGATGGTAGATTCCCTCATACTAAGGATGATAACTCTTTTTTTATATACTTGCATTAATCAACTTCTCAAGGTATTGGGAAATGGAGGTATTCAAACATGTGAGAAGGCTCTGATCATCTTAAAACCTGACCTCCTGACTTAATAGTTCTCTAATATTTTTTTCCTCCTCCACCCGTCTCTCATTTCTCTCCCTTTTTTCTTTTGTTTTGTTCCAAGAATTGCTGAAAGATGCATTGGGTTGTCTGTCGCTGCATATTTCATATGATGCTGTCTTTGGGGTGTCATCAACTTACTTTAGTTGTTTTGACAGTTGGAGACTTTCAAGAGACAGTTGATGCAGTCGTTAAATGATGATAATGTGCCTGTAAGATTGGCCTTCCAATTCTTTTAGTTTATCTTCTTATGATTTAAGTTTTTTGCTGTTCTTCCCGAATTATTTCAATGTGATTCATATGGTTTCTTTTGTGATAAGAAATATCATCTTGTTCATGTTGGTTTTTTTCCTTTGCTTTTTGTGTTTCGTCAGCAAGCTGAAACAGTGGATATAGGAATATATGATCATTCAGTTCCCAAAGCCCATCCTGTGAAGGGTAATTTTTGCCTTGGCTTGATGAAAATTTTGAATATAGTTCTTAGTAACTGGTCAAGTGTCATATCTTGTTTGCATTTAATGAAATTGTATTGGTTTCTGTCTTCTGCTTGCTGTCTGTTGTTGGATGTGCTATTACTTCCTTACGTCTTCCCTTGCAGAGGAGGCGGCAAATGGCTACATGACACAACATTCATTTAGCGGCTCCACAGATAGTGCAAACATCACTGATAATGGTATTTATCAGTAACTCTTGGTTTGTTCAGTCTTGCATATGCCTGCATATCATTTTTTTCATGATGTGATTTAAGCCAAGTTTTGGACAACAGTGTCAAAGCAAGCTGATCAACGATTTTCTATGACTCCTTACATAACACCCCGCCTCACTCCAACGGGAACTCCAAAAATAATTTCCACGAGTGTGTCCCCCAGAAGGTATTTGGCTGCTGGATCTCCTCAGAAAAGCTCTGCTACCACTTCTCCAAGAAAAAATCAATATGAAGGATTGGGTACACTGTCTTCATGGTACCCGTCAAGCCAGCAGTCATCAGCAGCAAACTCTCCTCCACATGGACGCCCAATGCCAGGTTTGGAAAGCCTATTGCAATTTCCAATTCGACTTCTGGCTGTTAGATGATAAACATAAGTGCTGTTTCTTTTGCAATCTTCTGATAATACTTGTCCACGTTCCTTCCTGTTACAAAAAAACAGGTTTTTTCCTACTAATTCAGCTCCTTATGATTGATGCACTATATTGAATACTAGTGCTTGAATCAAATTTCTTATATAGATTATGGCTTGATTAATTTGTTTTCTTCGTTCTTCAAAATTTTAAGCTCGTACTCCTAGAATTGATGGAAAGGAGTTCTTCCGCCAAGCCAGGTGAGTTTTATATTTCCAACTATTAGACTGCGACCACCTTTTCTTGAGGTACCTTTTACCTGACAGTTTCAGTATGGTTATTTAATCCAGGAGTCGTCTATCGTACGAGCAGTTCAGTGCATTTCTAGCTAACATAAAGGAATTAAATGCTCAAAAACAATCTCGCGAGGTAATTCAGCATAAAAATTGATTTTAACATATCAAAATCAATGTTACATTTTCTTTTGATGCAGTCAAATCTGTTGTGATCTGCTTGTTGACTAAATGAACAGAATTTACAATTTTTGCTTTCAGGAAACTTTGCGTAAAGCAGAAGATATTTTTGGGATGGATAACAAAGATCTGTACTTATCATTCCAGGGATTGCTTAATCGCAACATAAATTAAGGGTAGTGTTGCTGGGAATGGTGTGCAATAATAGATTTGTCTATCCATCTGCCAGCAGTTGTCCCTCAAATTTTGAGCTTGTTCTGTTTTGTCTTTTCCTTGTTTCTTCATCTTTTACAAAGTATATTGTGGCAAATTACCACAGCCTTTTAAAAACAGTATCATTCTAAGTCAAACTCAAATCTAGTCGCTTTGGGTGGATTGCCCTTTACTGTTTTTCTGACGTTGGAACATTTGTCGAAATCATTAATGCCTCTATTAAATTGGAAGCAATTTTTTTTTCTTTGCTTAGCTCTCTCTCTCTCTCTACTTGATCTTTATCAGTTAACCTCAAGTGTCTCTGCCAGCACTTGTGGTGTACCACATTTTGCCCTTGATGTTGCTGATCAAATAATGTCCAGTAGGATTTCTGTCCTGTGTACTTGTGCATTGTTGGATTATGGGTTACAGATTAGAAAAAGGCTCTACATGTTCAACATTGATTTGAATGTAGCAGAAGTTTAGCAAAATGTACAGAGGGACGGGTGGCATATAACCTTGAACACCATAAGCAGGGGACCTTGAGTGATTCAAATGTCAATTTAGATGCTACGATAAACTTCAATTTGATATGCTAAAAATATTTGCATCCACTTTTTCTAACGCTGATTAATTACTGGAATCAGACAGCATAATCAAATCTCTTGGATAAGGAATCAGTCTGATAGAATACTGTTTCAGTTCAAACAACTTGGGCACCATTAAGATTATGTGTGGCACTTTATTTGTTTTGAGAACATGGCATCAGTCAAGTTCAGGGTTCTTGGTTAGATCGAGTGGAAATAGTTTCCAAACCAACAAAGATTTAATAAAAATTGAATAGCGAAAGCTCAGTGATCCTAGTTGTAATACCCTGTAACCTGAGCTAAAGCATTCTATTGCATAAGCTTCAAGGTTGAACTCTAGAAACCTAATCTAAGGCAGGATTGGTTGGTTTGGTTTGAACTCAAGACTTTTAGGTTTTGATACTATTTCAACCACTAGATAAGTATAAATCATCAACTCATCTAAAAGCTTAAGTTTTTAGATAGGACATTTGTATTTTTGTAATAATTGCACATTTTTGTTATCATCTAAGAGTATAAATACATACTTCTTTTTTTGAGTCGTAGTAATAATTTTAAAGGAGAGAATGCAGTCCGATCTTATTTTGACCAAACGGATAGGCATGCCGACCTGCGAGCATGCAAGCAAATTGATCATGTAGGTGAAAAGTTTGACAAATCTATGACCAAGAATCTCAGCATGCTCAGAGAAGCAAAGAAAGTGTACTATGTTGAACAAGACCACTTCTAGAGGAGATCAGTGAAAGTGGGAAAAATATGCAGTGATCATATGCCCAAATATCAATCAACCTAGATTCACTTCCAGATAACATGCACCAACAAAGTTTGTTGGCTCAGGAAACCACTTGCAAGAGGAGATAAAAAGATAATAAAGAAGAAACAGTGTCAGGTGATGTGGGATAGTTATCTCAAATGTGTCGAGCTTTATTTGATTCCTTGAGACTTCAAACTAAGGGAAATTAGGTACTTCTAACCGTATTTGAGAAGCTTTTAATTTAGATGGATGCAAATGAGCTTGGGGTCCAAATTGTCTGGCAATTGGTCTTTTTACACACCAAACACTGCATGATTTTGTTTTATAATTCTGCCCCCTTATGACCCAATCAATTGCCAACTCTGATGTAAAGTTGCAACATTTCTCTTTTACTTTCTGAATTTGTGATTTAAGACCATTATTTTGATTCTATGTCAGCATAATAGATAATGAAGACTTTACTATGATTTTGAATTTAGACCATTCAGAACACAGGGGGTGGCAAAGTACTGATGGAGAGAGAGAGAGAGAGATATCTTGACTGATTTATCTGTCATTTGCATGCTTTTTGTGTCAAACAGCCAGGAAAAGATAGACCTTGAGTCAGAGGAATACTATATCTAATTGGTTGCAATTGCATAGCAAGTAACATGGAGAAGAAAGTTGGTCCCTTCTACAAGATTCCTCTTGAACCAGATTCCAGTATGAATGCAAAAGCAAGTATTCAGATTTACGTGTTTCTTTAGAACACAATCCATGATAAGCTTCCCAGAAAGAACAGTTGCTGTATAACAAATGATGTACCACAACTACAATTAAAAGGAGTTACACTGAACTATTAATTTTACTGAGAGTAATGTTAACTTTGTTAATTGATATGGTCCAATAGTATTACTTTTGTAAGCGTTGCAACTTTTTTATTGGGGTCATGTTTTGTAGACACATCATCAGGTCACGGTATTAGGTTCTAATGGTATTTTTGTTTCGTTAAACATATGCAGTGAGTCAAGGAAGGGTAGGCAGTGTCTACAATTGTTTTGGTACAAAGCTGTATAAAGAATCTAATCAACACACACACTCACATTTTAAACAGATCAGCTCAAATTGCTGTTTTTTTTTTCTGACAATAAATAATATGAAGAAAACAGGGGTGAGTGTGTGTTTAAAAGCCTAGCCAACTTATTCCCACTTCATGGAGAATCAATTCAGCATAAAGAAAGTTACATGAAGGCCTTTATGAAAGCTTTCTAAGTGATTTAACCTCTAGGGATAGCTTCATAGTAAACATGTTACTTACAAAATTTCCATTATTTTGTTTTCATAAGTCAAAATTTTGATTTGAAGTAAAACATGATAATAGGAATTTTCCAATATGATCAAGAGTGGTCTGCATAAAAAAGATGCCCTCGTATATGTAACTCTCGTGATTGCAAGGTTTGAGAAGAATTGCTTGCATGAGCTTTATTTGTTTTTGTGCAACGACGCATCGTCCCATCCAACGGACTGGATTTAAAGTTATTTCAATTTTGCACCTGATTAATATGTCAACACAAGAATAAGGGAGGATGGGTAAAAATGGAATTAAGTATGAGGTATATATGTTGTACCTGATTGTTTATGCAAATCTTAGTAGCCCATGGGTTAGATTCTTGGTCTAAGTAGATTAGATCTTTATCAGTACATTGGGTGTGCAGCTTTGATCAGTATGAGAATACAAATCACATGAGAGACTCTATTCCTCTATGTGGGGACTCTTAAAGCTTTTTCTTTCTAAGTTGCCTCTAAAGGGTGCTTTCCAAGATATGCATTTATATTTACTGCATATGTAAATTATGCCCTTATAACTAGGACTATCAAACGAGTTGTGTTTTGTAATATTTGGATTGTGTTATATACAAAATGTGTTATTGTTATATTTGTATCCAGTTTGCGTCACCGAGAGAAATTGACATACCTATTCAAAATAATCTTCTTGGGTTCTACACAAGTTCACTAATATTCCTAATATTCATGCCTGGCCATCTAAAATAACTGAATCACTTGATGACATTATGTAACCAGTTACTTCTCTATGTTCTTCATTAACAAAAAGGCTAGGTAAAGTACCTAAATGGCTTTCTATATTAGCTGAATTTCATCAGATAAAGAAAAAGATTGTCTTTTGTTCAGATAAGGGAAGGGAATGCTATGGCAACCTAATAACTCTTATGACCCAAGGGGTTTGGCTCAATAGCATGTGGTCCACCTTAATTACAAGGGGACAGGTCACATCAGCAAATCTTGTTAATCTCTTGGGTTATTCTTTAGAAATTTATTTTGGAGAAAAATTATTAATTATGTGTCCAAAAGAATTAGACGAATATCATAACAAGCTTAAAAATCTCGACAAACAAATAATTCTTATGTGTTAACCTTAATAGATTTACAAACAAATAAGTCAGTTAAAACACCGAACAAATCATGATTGAAAAAACAGTCACAATTAATTTAGTTATTAATCCAGCTCTCTAGAACTATTTGGTATGATGAACTAATGAAGTTACTATAATTATAGCTATCAAATTTTTTTATTTTGTCTAGGATACTATCAGCAGATACATAATTAACTCAAAACAATTATGTGTCTATCAGCTACTTATGGTGTATGTGCCAAATAGGGGTGTTAATCGAGCTAAATTTTACGAGTTTGAATCTGAGCTTGTCGAACTCGTTTTTTTAAACGAGTTTAAAAATTTGTTCAAGTTTGACTTGTTTAAAATTCTAGCTGAGCTCGAATAACTCGATTATTTTATATATAAACGAGCTTAACTTAGCTAATTTGAGTAGAATCCTATTCGAGCCATCTTGTTTCACTTTGTTTTTTCCTTGCAAAGCAACGCAGTGCAAGCTATAAATAGTCAAATGGCTTAAAATGGGCAGTAACCAACAAAGTCTAGAAGTCAAGTTTTTCTTTTTCAGCAATGGCTTCCATTCCTCAATACTTCTCCAATGAGTTCTATGCTTTCCATAATCCAATGTCTGGCGGAAACAACGGGGGTGGTATTGCAATGTGGAGTGAAGAATGCTTACCGCCCTTTTCCGACAATGGGATACTTAATGTGGAGCCATTAGAACCTCATGACATTGTTCCATCCATTTCAATGTCATTGTTTCCTGAGCGTCTCGGCGTTTCTGATATGGCTGTACCCTCATTGATGGAGCGTAATATCAATATGGGTTCATATGGCATCGCTGGACCTCATGGTTTTGAGTGTAGATACCAACATGAGGTATGTGATCAGTTTGGCGATGATTCCAGCAGTGGGGTTGTGCCAAATTTCTGGCCGGTTTATTCCGTAGCTGTCGACAATTGGGTATCTATATGATCTTTTTGACTCCTGTTAAATCTCATACTGTTGCAGATGATTCATATAAATTAATTTTCATCATGCATAGTTTTGTGAAGCATTCAAATTAAGCTTCATGCAAAAGTGATTCTATTACTTGAAGTCTTGATGCATAAAACACTATGTATATGTATATGTACATGTAGGGAATTCAAGGTAAGCCTGCCCCAGAAGTTGAAGAACCCACACTGAAGATTGGGAAGTATTCAGTAGAAGAAAGGAAGGACAGAATTCTTAGGTATCTAAAGAAACGAAATCAAAGGAATTTCAACAAAACCATCAAGGTCTCTCTCTCTCTCTCTCTCACACACACACACACATACACACACAAACACAATTATTCCAGTGTGTTGGTTTTCCCTGTGTTTATTCAATAGTCTACTCTCTCTGCAGTATGCCTGTCGCAAGACCTTGGCTGACAAGAGGGTCCGGGTTCGTGGAAGATTTGCAAAGAACAATGAACCATGTGAAGATGAAGTTAGAATGAAGATGACTGATAATCCTACCGAAGCAAAAGACTTCAGCTACTACGCTGATTGTGTCCAGAACCTCCAGGTACCTATTTTTCAAGAACACCCAAAGTTTTCATTCCTACAATCTGGTAGACATTAACAGGTTCTGGACTCACTCATATGCTCATAGTATGATACTGTTAATTAATGTTTTTTGCAGATCAAACATGATGATGAGGACTGGTTACAGGAAGCTATGGTTAGTCTTATGTATTCACCATATATTGGTGGGTGACACCATGGAGCTGTTGCAAAATGAACAACTAACGTAGGAAACAATGATACCATGGAGCTGTATTCACCTTATTGTACTTTTAATAGTTCACTAGTTTAATGTAATATGGAGCGAGGTATCTTCCGATATATATTTTTCTTTTACATTTGTTGTATATAAGTGGGTTTCTTTTCATTCTTCTATTTTTCAATCGTATCAAACTGAGCATAAGTGAATGGCAGCTGAATGAATGATTCTCATTATACTTCAGCCTTAGTGTTGAAGATATTGAAATCCTATAATTGATGACATGAAATAAGTGGGACAAAATCTGATTATTTACGGGATTCTCATATTTTGAACACTTCATGAACTTTAGTGCACTGACCGAAACAAATCAAAGAGGTTTTATAACGTGTTTTAAGCATATCAATTATACCAATATAATGTTTTGGGAAAAAGACGACAAATCATCATATTGTTCCACATGTTTTACCCATCTTGGCATAACAAAAGCAACCAATAAGCTAGGAGATCTAAAGTAAAAACGAAGCCATGCTCTAAGGGTACCAAGTGTAACCACATCCTCAAACCCTGAATGCAATTTGTTTTTTTTTTTTGAGGACAATAGAATTTTATTTATTGAAATCCAAAATTACAAGAAGCCAAAAAACAGAAACTGTTAAGCACGAACAGTAACTGTTTTAACAAATATAACAGTCAACTGTACATAAAAAAGGCAATAAATCTGCAGCTCATCTTCTGCCCTTCAGCTCAGCTCCTGCCTTACAGCTCAACAATTCAGCCCTGAATCATTACTGCACTCCTCCTCCTCTGAACTGCACTCCACATACAGCACCTAGTAACATTCTCAGGCCCAGGCAGGCTTTAAAGCAACAGCAGTCTGCTAGACAAGCAGCAAACCAAGAAACAAAGTAATTGACAAAATTCTAATTACAAAAGGTTGGCTTTAATCCTACAAAAGGATTAAAACCCAATAACTATCTTCAGCTGTCCAGTAAGTGCAAAAGCAGTCCCTCAGACCAGCCTGCCTGCAAAACATCCCAAAACTGGAACTGATACTCCTCCTGAAATGAGCTCCTCCTTCAATACACAGATCAGCATCTGCTCCTATGATCACAGACCAAGCTCATGAAAAGACCTTACTCATCACAGAATAGCAGAAAGCTCTAAAAACAACACAGAAGGAATCATTCAGCTGCAGCATCTTCTCAACTCCTTTGCTGAATTAAATGCAGCTCCAACTCAGTGAAATACAGGCCAGACTAGCAACTCACAAACAGACCATTCAGCTCACAGAAATACATAGAAGAGTACAAAAAAAATCGTTCTATTTGTTTACAACCATACTCAATTTTGCCATTTTATTCAACTCATCTCTTTTCACCAAATCACAAAATTATATTTGTCATTTTTGTGGACTCCAACAATAACCATAATGTCACATTAACAGAACATTATCTCCATCTCTTGTAAACGGTACAATATTAACACAATGCTTCTCCTAAACAGCTAACACACTTGCACTAATTCAACCAACATTACCACAAACCAAATGAAAGGACATAACTCCCAAGAATTCAAGTTTATTTTCCAATTGGGGCCACTGGCCATACCCATACATAATCTTTGGCCATGATGGGTGAGTGGGGACAAAAGTGGAAAGAAAAGCAACTGGCCAATGATGGTGATCTTATGCATAGATAGTAAATATTTTTGTGCTTATGCATTTGGCAAGCTGTTGATCGAAGTCAACATGAACATGCCAATGGGATATGAAAGAGCCTCCCTTAGTCCCCTCTTTTCTTTTGACATTTTCTCTATGATGGGTATATATAGATAAGAAGATAGAGAAAAAAAGGGGCAAATGTGTCTCACGATCAAGCATTCTTCCAATCGTAAGAAAGCACTAAGTTGAAGCCAAGGCAACACCCTCACATCCATGAAGGTGTCCCCATCATCACATTACGACTGATGATCCATTCTATAAAAAGGAAACTAAATTATTTTGTAACTTTGGATACTGTGTGTGTTTTTGGTGTATATAGTCTGAGTAGAACTGAACTCAAACAAATATTGTAGTCCCTTCGGGGACATCTGATAAAATTAAAACGATACAGAGAAGATTAACAGTTTTCTGCAATGAAATTGTAACATGATCTAGTGAGGACCTTGTCAATGCATTGTGATAGCTATTACAGTTAGAACCAAGAGCTAGGCACCAAATGTGAGAATATACACAAGTGCTAGCTAGTGTTCTTTGGAAGTGATGGAGGGTTATGTTTTTAGTGGGATATATCAAAGCATACAATTTTAAGACTTCAATTATTTCAACTGTTGCTTCAATGGGATACCAAACAAAGTCCAAACTTCAATCATCCCAAAAGATTTGTCAGCGATAACAGATTAATCGTGCAACCAATTGTGATCCACAAAGCCAGTGAGAAGCAACCATTGCCACAATTGTAACCTGGGGTCCCATCCCATGGTTTTGCATGATTGACCATTTTCATCATTTGAAGTTCATATATATATATATATATATATATAGGGGAATCTGAGGGTGATAGGTTGAAGTTGAAACCAAGTGATGATAGTACTGTTTGCAATTGTTGTTTCTTTTTCAGTGAGGTTACATGTTCATGGTACTATGTGTTTCCTTTCATTGTAGTCAAGACAAATACTAAGACATGCATGATACAAATTTACATTAGTGCAATGCTACATTGGCTTAAAATATTAATTTAATTTGTTGACTTAATGGATTGTAAAAAAAAAAGAAGAAGAAATCTTTCAAATAACTGAATTGAATTCAAAGAGAAATGTAAAAATCAAATTCAGATTGAAGTTTTTAAATTGTAATGAAATGTGACCGTTGAAGATCTAATTAATTTTGTTATCAAAACTGGACGAGTTTCAATGATTATGGTTCGATTATTCTTTTCAATTTGATGGATGTATTAATTGTGAAGAAATCTTGACTCTGTCCCTGGAATGCAAATGGGTATAGGGAGCATTAGCATTTTTAAATTCTTAGATTGAATAAATATGTCAGGCTATAAACAAATCCTTTAGGATGAAAAATGGTGGAACAGTTAGTCTTTATGGAAGAAGTTTATCAGTGGAAGGCAATTGGCTTGGGGATATGCATAACATAAGAGAGTTTTTTGCAATATAAAAAAAAAGATCAAATATGTTCAGTATCTATTTTTCTTTCTCCCTTTTTCTTGGCATCCCACAATGCATAGCGAGGTCTGGAGAAGTAAGGGGTTAATATATTAAACCAATACCAAATTTTTATCCTTTGATACATGGATCGACTTAAGAGAATAGATTTATTACAGGAATTTTAAATTAGTTATGGTTTCCAATGTACGACAAGCGCCACCATTGAAGGATCAGTGAAGAAGAAATCAGGTAACAGAAACACAAACACTTAATATTTTGGTTTATTAGGCAGCTATGAGTTTTGACTTAGATCTATGTCAAGTACTCCATCTAAGTTTCAAAATAACAATCTCATACCTAAAAAGGAAGTTCAAGACAAGCATGCATCAGTGATGGCATATGAAGCACAGATACACGATACATGCATGAGCAGATACGAATATGGCGAATGTGAACTGATCTTCATTCAATTTAACCTATTTATAGTGCAATAGATGATATAATAAGTACTAAACAATCTAAATTAATTACAACATAAACTCCATAATTTAGGCATGCCACTTGACAAGTCATCCAAAATACCAAATAAATACCAATCCATCTAAATTGGTCTCTTGCTTTGACTTCCTGAATATTTCCAATCTTAAAGAAGTGTGTAGCGACATGTTTTAAGAGTGACTTGGGCAATAAAATATTGAATAGCTCAGCCATTTAGAGGTAAACATCATAGATGCTATACAACGCAAGCAAGTTTTGGTGTACCGGCCCTTGAATGCCCATTTGCATCGCGACAATGGGGTCTAAAATTACCCCACGAATTGAGCACCCCATAAGGTATGCTGCAAAGAAATATAAGAGAATATCAATAGGGCACAGGTCATAATAAGGGTTATGTGCCCCTAAGGTGAGTTGCAACTGTATAATCGATGCTTGATAAAATGGATGTTTTTGAATTTCTTCTGTAAACGAAAGGAACAGTGAGAGTTTGCAAACTGTCCAGATCTCATGTTTGAAAACCCGAGTGGCCCCTAACTTGTGATCACAGAATATCAATTTGTAGACCTATTATTACAATATGATTCATGGGTATAGAAATTAAAGATCTAATTTTGCTAATTTATAATTCTAATGGTAAAGTAAGTTGCAGAAATTCAGAGAAATAGTGCTCACCAATAAGAAGATGGCCTGCTTCATGCGCAAGAATTTGATGTTTATATGGGGGCCAGTAACTTGAGATTTGAGCCAAATAGGATCTACCAAGGAATATTTAGTCTATCATGGCTAATCCCAATGTGGCTGCTAGGTTTGGCCTGATATCTATTCCTTGATTAAGCAAAAATAACACCCCAGCAAGTAAACCAACCAAAACGACCCTAGAGCTTCCAGAAAGACCCCACTTCTTTTGTGAAAGTTTAGAAACTAGGCCATAGAAAATCAATGAAGAAGAAGAAGAACTTAGACGTTTTAATCTCGGTGGAGTTGTGACAAAAAACTACGAAGTTATGAATAATAAACACAATATGGTAGGCATGTGAATCATTTCAACTCAAATTTATCAATTTTTTGAAGAAACTATAGATGGGTAGTGTACCTTCCAGACCAGTTGACGACTTCAAAACAGTTGGTGTAACATCTCTTGGTTCCTCCAGAACTACAAAAAGTATATAATCAATTATAAACAAGTGACAGACTGCTTACTGTATCAAAGAAGTTTTTAAAACTGGTCCCTCCATATAATGTTAAATTTCATGCTTCAATGTCATATAATGATGGGGTGATTAGAAAAATCATTTACTTGGATTAACAAGATTTGCATATCATCAAAAGATATCTTTTGCTTGACATCTTGTAGAGAAACTAACTAACAAACAACTAGAAATTTGAATGTAATCAGTGAGAAATTATATAAGGGTAAATTGCAAGTTACACCCTGAAAGATAGTAAGAATCTCAGTTTGCACCCCCAAAGATAAAAAATCTCAATTTGCACCCTCAAAGATAAAAATTTGTATCAATGTGCACCTAAAACTAAATTGATAAATTATACCTAGATCCTCTCATGCTTGTCACTTAATCATTTGGACCCCTTCACATTTAAAATATTACTCCTACATCTCATGACGTTTGTGCACGTGTAACATGTAATCCCTTTTCATTGATATCTGTTAATATAACCTTTAAAAAATATGATTTTATCCTAATAAAAAATTATAATTTCATATTACCATTTATTTTGTGAGTTCGATATACTCTAAAGTTCAAAATCAAGTTTACCATTAGACATTATAATTTTTTATTAGGCTAAAATTATATTTTTTAACGGTTATATTAACAGATATCAATGAAAGGGGGTTACGTGTTACATGTGCACAAACGTTATGAGATGTAGGAGTAATATTTTAAATGTGAAGGGATCCAAATGATTAAGTGACAAGCATGAGTGAATCTAGGTATAATTTATCAATTTAATTTTAGGTCCACATTGATACAAATTTTTATCTTTGAGAGTGTAAGTTGAGATTTTTATCTTTAGGGGTGCACATTGATACAAATTTCTATCTTTGAGGGTGCAAATTACGATTTTTGATCTTTGGGGGGTATAAATTAAAATTCCAATTATCTTTCAGGATACAACTTGCAATTAATCCATTATATAATAAAAATGATGAAGCACAAGAAGTCTGAAAAAAATTTACCGCTTGAGATTGGTTCCACAGCCTTAAGAACAAGACTATGGTACCAGAACCTCTAAATTTTACAATTTTTATGGGCCAAGTTATAACTTTTATCATAACTTGCTGTCAATTCTAATCTATAATATAAAATAGGTCAAGTTTCAATAAGCCTTTCAAAAAGATTTATCCAATGACCACCAACATTCCCTCAAAATCATTCCCATTGCACCCCTAGTATTTTAAAATTGATCACACATTACTACAAAAGTAATAAAAAAACCAACAAAATCTGTAATGGTGGTGTCGTAGGCTTCTCTCAGTATTAATCGAGTGCTTTAAATTTCTAAAACAAAACATATTTACCTGATCAGAAATAAACATTCTTAACAATCACGTCATATGGGTGTCTGAGATCAACAATATGGATTGGGGCAGGACAACACTCCGCAACAAATAAGACAACAAACTACCCAAAAATATGCCAAGAAGAATACTTATATTTCGACATTTTCCAAAATTTGGCAAGAAGCCCCGGTTTTAGAGAAAAGCATAGGCACTCCCAACAAGCCTCATATCACCAGCATTCAAGCATGTATCTAACACCTCCCAATCCTTGTCCAATCCAAAGATTCCAAACAGCCCCAATTCACCATTAACAACCCTAGACGGAGTTGAGTCAATCGAAGAATTGTGGGGTTCGACTGGGATATCTTGCAAGAACCGAAGAGCTTGAGCCAGGTCCTTCTTTTTCACTGCTTCCTCATATTCCTGCCACTCTCTGAGAGCTCTGGTTGTGGTGAGTGATGGTGGTTGTTTTCGGCAAAAGAGTTTGGCTTCTGCAAGTGGGTGTGTTGGGAATGGTAACGGACTGGAGAGGGTGAAGCCAATTGGGCGCGGAATGACCTTGGTTGAGACAATTGGAGTGGTGAAATTTGTGAGGTATAGAGGTGAAAAACCAAGGAACGTAGAAGCTTGAATGAATGATAAGATGAGGAGGATCAAAGGATTGAGCTCCCATTATTTGGAAAACAGATTTTATTTTACTTTATTTCAAATGGAAGATTAAATTTTATACATTATTTTTTTTTATCAAAAATTTATACGTCAGGTTTTCGTAAGTTTTTATATCCGCGTCAATAAATTAGTTTTTGACTTAAAAAAAAAATTAAAATTAATAGAATAAATATATTATAATACTTTTAATACATTAAAAGTGTAATGTAAAAAATTTAATTTTTAAATGTATGAAATAAAAAATTTAAAACTTTTAAGGCACAACCTATTATTGAAAAATATTAATTTGACTTAATTAATGGGTAAATTATACTAATAGTCCCTGAGGTTTACCATTTGTTAAAATTTTGTCCTTAAAGTTCTAATTTTATCCCTAAATTGCACACATTGGACCGATATAGTCATTTGCCCTAACTGCCGTCTAAATCAATAATAGAAAAAAGAGGATTGAACTCCGATATTTGAAAAAAAAGAGGATTTTATTTTACTTTACTTCAAATGAAATATTAAATTTTATACATTATTAAAAGTGAACTTTTTGTAAGTTTTTATATCCGTGTCTAAATCAATAATAGAAAATCATCGCATGCTATGCACGCGAATATAGTTAAGGATAATTTTGTCATTGTCCAACAATCTCTATAGCCAAACACTCTTATTACACTTGAGAACAACACTAGACATTAACTCAAACATTTTCCTTCTTCTTCCTCACTTTATTTTTCTATTTCCCTCGATGTAGACACCACACATGATAAGTCAAATACACATAACATTTCCCCCTTTCTATCTCTCTAATTTTTTTTTCTTTATGCATAACACCTTGCTAAAAACAAAACAACAACACCCCATTCTAAAAAAATTCAACACTCATCTCTTTCTCAAAATTTTCTTTATGCACAACATTTCCCTTCCCCCTCCCCAGAAAAACACACATCACCTATCTCTCTCTGAAATAAAATTCAAACTTAAATTTGAATAAAAAATGTTCAAAAATTATCTCTAATCTTTTGACTCGAACTTATATTAAATAAAGGAAAACTTTTTTTTTCCCCTAAATTGAGGAAATATCAAACCTTTTACTCAAAATTTTTTGAGCCAAAATAGACATTTTATAATATCAGTGTTTCGTCAACTTCCAGACCTTCTACCATGGAAACTCATTCTCTGTTGTCTGCAAACTTATATAATTATTTGATGTTGCTTCTTCTATACCATCTGTGTCTGACTTTTTTTTCAAGTTATTGAGACCCAACAAATTGATGAGTAAGTCGTCTAAATTTCGACATCAATAGTAATAATTATGATTTTTTTTAAGAAAAAATTGAATTTTATTTCAATAAGTGACACAATAGAATATAAATTTTAGTTGTAAAATTTAAAATATTTTATCTTTAATTTAAATATTTTTGTTTTAAGTATAATATTTTAAACTTAAAAACTCAAGTTTAAGTGTTACATGTTTTCAAACTTTAGAAATCTAAACATAATTTATTAACAACATTGATAGTAGGAGTTTAATTGTTATGCGCGTGTAAATCTTAAAAATTTGTGTGTAATATTTTAAATATTAAGAGTTTAAGTGATTAAGTGACGAACATTAAATGATTTTAATTTATTTTTTTCCCTCCTTTTCGTTTGGTAGGAGAGATGAAAATAGTAAAGATATATTTTTTATCTTTTGATATTAGACAAAAAATGAAAGAAAAAGAAAAATATATATGCCCAATTTATAATTCTACCCTTAAATATATTAAGTGAATTTTTTATTACAAATTAATCCAATTAATTTGAAAAGTTTTTCATTCCCTTAATTTTGAAAGAATTAATTTTGCTTTGAATGATTTATAACTATTAATTAAAAAATGACAAAATGACATTATAGTAATTATAATAGAAGGTTTGGTAAAAGGGTTGAATCGCCAAACACATGAATCACCTGATCAGCATACATCCCCTCTTTTTTTTTTTTTTTTTTTTTTGCAAAAGGACATTTTATTTATTCACAAAGCTGAAATTACAAGAAGCAAATAAAAGGCCAGGCCCCTTACAAAGCAACCAAACTCCAAAAAACAAGGCACAGACGCCTATCTTCACAATCAAACTCAACAAGCCTTAAAAAGAAACACAATATTAACAGTAAACTCCCCCTAAGAAAAAAGCATAAACTCCCAGTCCCAAATTTCCATCACCGCCATCCTTTATCTTTCCAAGAATTTCAAGCAAATCAACACTATCTTCTTAGCAAAGGCATCAAACAGACTGTTAGCAGGCATCAAAATTTGAAATAAAATTATTTTTCATAGTATCTTTTCCTAAGAACAATGTGGGATTAAAGTGTAATTTAACAGGGTCAATAACATATTTTTTTTAATTCTTTTCTTTCTCTCGATTAATTTTTTCCTCCAAATTCTTTGATTGAGGTCGAAAATCAAAAGTTAAAAATCTATAAAGAAAACCCCAATACTATAGTTACAACAGTTCCACGGCTATTCAAGAATCAAGTAAGTTAATCAAATTCAAAAAGGATTGAACATCAAAGTACAAGAGAGAGAGATGCAGGGAGACCTCTGTAGTGGATTTACGGAGAGGAGATGGAGAAACCTTGGGAGTTCTTTTCTTTAGATTTTGATTTTGATTGGTGGCTTTGGTTACGAAGAAACGAGTGGGTCTTCGAGACGTGGCGAAGAAGAGACGATGGGAGGTCAAAAAATAACGGGAAGTGCCATTGGAGGTGAGCACAGAGAACCAGCCGGAAGTTGAGGGAACTTATCATGAAAAAGGGCGAAGAAATTCAAGCGAAGAAAGACTGAGATCGCAGACTCCTTCAGACGCCTAAGTTCTTTCTCCTGTCGAAGTTTCAAGAGTCGTTGGTGAGGGAACCCAATCAGTACATAATTTGGTAGTGAACGGGCTTTTGTCTACAAAAAAAGGGTAAAATAGTTAATTTATTAATATGCCATCTTCCCTCCATTTTTTCAATTTACTTTCCGACCAAAAGTGGGGGGAAAGATTTTGGTGGACGCCGGGGAAAGTAAATCCTCCCAATTTTCCATTCCCACCCATTTTTCTTTCAAACCAAACAGTAAAAATTATTTCCTTCGCTCCCACTTTTCTTCCCCATTTTCTATCCTTCTTGTTTTCACTCATACCAGACAGGCTATTAATTTAAAGCCTTCGGTAGTCTCCTTATTAATTTCCAAATCTGTGCATTAATCTCCCCCTCTCTCTCTCAACCCTCACCGGAAAACCCCCACCCAGCGGCGGTGTTGCCTAGTTTCCAAATCTATAAGTCTCCATGCTTTTCTTCATATTCACCGCCTCTCTTCTTTCCTCAAATATCTGTGCATTCAGCGCTCTCTCTCTCTGTCTCTTAATTTAAAGCCTTCGGTAGTCTTCATATTAATTTCCAAATCTGTGCATTAATCTCCCCCTCTCTCTGTCTCTCTCAACCCTCACTCGAAAACCCCCACCCAGCGACAGTGTCGCCTAGTTTCCAAATCTTTAAGTCTCCATGCTTTTCTTCTTATTCACTGCCTCTCTTCTTTCCTCAAATATCTGTGCATTCAGCGGTCTCTCTCTCTCTCTCTCTCTCTCTTAGTTTAAAGCCTTCGGTAGTCTCCTTATTGATTTCCAAATCTGTGCATTAATCTCCCCCTCTCTCTGTCTTTATCTCTCTCAACCTTCACCCGAAAACCCCCACCCAGCGATCGTGTCGCCTAGTTTCCAAATCTATAAGTCTCTATGCTTTTCTTCTTATTCACCGCCTCTCTTCTTTCCTCAAATACATCTGCAACTCTCTCTCAACCCCAGCCGAAAACCCCCATCCCATAAACTCTCTCTCTTTCTCCCCTGAAAACACCCCACCCATAGACTTTGGCCAAAATCGATTGGATGGGGACTAAATTTGGGAACATTCATGGGGCGATCTTCGGGATCACAATGTTTCGAGTTGGCAACATATGATGAGGGTTTGTAATGAGTTTGTTCAAAACTTTTCCAAATATGTAACATGCCATCCAGTGCCTCCAGGTTTGAATTCTTTAATCTGATTCAATCTCTCTCTCACTCTCATTATCCCACTTGTTTTCGCGTTTGAAATATGATTGGAAGTCAAAAAGAGGATTTGTGGTTTTCAACGTACATGTATAAATCATTAGATTCAAAGAATTTTCGTTACATGATTTTCGTAGATTTCGTTTTTGTTCCCTGTTTCTGATTTATTTTTCTATTTTCACATTGTCTTCATAATTTATCATACTATTATGTTTATAATTCTTTGTTACCCAATAACTACAGAAACCCGCTTATTTTATTTTTTTCTTCTTATTTTCGGAACTCGATATTACTATGAATGATGAACAGCCGTTATATTTTAGAATGAGAAATACTGATTTCAATGGCCGCCGGGAATGTGATTGAAGACTTGAATATGATTACACACACATGGCAAAACTACTGAAACCCTTTAGTTCTAAAATACAATTATTGTAGTTATTTATGTGATTTTTCTAGTGTTTTTTGGTTTAGCCTTATTGAGTGTCTCGGAGGACGATATTGTTTGATTGACTTTCTTACTTTTGGTTAGAATTGTTTTCCATGGATTTTCTCTCAATTGCTGTTGATCTATGATGCTTTAGTAATATTGTGGATGTGCTGAAATGGATGCAATTCTGATTGAATTACTTATGCTCGATTTTTTTTTTTCAAACTGCAGTGTAACTTTTGCAACTACCCAACTACAGTTTGAATTTGGATACTAAGCTAGTTGTAGAAATTTCAACCTCGAAGGTTTTCTGATATGCAATTCAACACTGTTTTGGTGCTATTTTATGATTTTCTTGTTTGAGCAACGCTCAAACTTGAAAATCTTGTTTAATTGATGATGTTGGATATGCATTGCAACGCAATTTCATTACAGAATTTTTGCCTGCGATTAATCCTGCCGTCCATGTTCTTGTGTCTAGAATTGCAGATTCTGCCCATCAAAAATAAAAGGCTTGCAAGAAGTGTAGCGACATTAGCCAATTGGTTCAGTTCCTGGGTGATTATGATGACTGCACCCTTGCTCTTGTCTTGGAGCAGTGGAGGTTTGTCCCCCCCTCTCTCTCTCTCTATCAGCTGTTGTATACATGGTTTAGCATTGACTTATTGCTAGTGTTCTTGTAAACATAGTCTCTCCCCTCCCTTCTCCTCTTTTTTCTTTGCAGAAGATTTAAAAATTCCAGTTTATCCTGGAGGACAATAATTCCATTGTGTTTTTTGTTGTGAAACATATTGATTCTAAGTTTATGGCTATCATTATGTCGACTTCTGAAGCCTTCTAATTTGTTACTTTTATATTGTTCTTGATTTCTGTAACTTAGTTTGAGAGTGTTACTAGAAAGTAGAAATTTTAAGGCTTAAGAGTTATAAAACCTTAAGTGTTTGGGGTTTTGGGTTAAGGTTTAGAGTTTATGGTTACGTGGTTAAGGGGTTAAGGTTTAAGGGTTAAGGGTTATGGGTTTAAGGGTGTGGGATTTGGGTTTATTGTTCTTTTGTTTCTTTTGCTCCACCCCCTCATTATTCTTTTCCTATTTTTTCCCTTTATTTTGTTATGTTTTAGATTTTTATTTTTATGTATGTAACTAATCTAATGTGTGCTTTGATTTCAGTTGTTAGTGGAATAGACGAGATAAGCTTGAAAGTGGAGTTTAGGAGTGAAAAGATAAGTATATTTATTTGTCTAAATTTGATTGGCTTTCTTTTACATGTAAAATGTGTTTTACACATGACTATTTCTATTTTTTTTTGTGTTTCTTACTTGTTATAATCATTGTTTCTATTATTTTCAATCCTAAACACTCTCATTATCCCATCGTTTTCTTTTTATTTTTTGTTATTGTTTTCATGTTTTATACAGCCTAAAAATTGCATAGCATTTCTTTGATTGTATGTGTTTTGTTTGCTTTTCTATTAGATTTATTTTATTTTTTATTATCTTTCTATTGAAATTGTTAAATGTCGAAAACAAAATTTAATTCTTTGGAGAGGGAGCAAATGGTTAAATCATGGAGGAAAATTAAAAGTTTGTAGTATGTAAAAGATACAAATAGAATAGAATTCAAATAGGGTTTAGGGTTTTGGAGGCTTGGGGCTTACGGGCTATCGGACTTATAGGTTTTTGGGGTCTTGGGTTAATAGTTAGGGATTAGGGCTTAGGGAGTAGAGAGTAAGGATTAGGACTTAAGGAGTAGGGAGTAAGGATTAAAAATTAGAGATTAGGGATAGCAGATTAGGAGTTAGAGGTTAGGATTTGGGTTTATTTTTCTTTTGCTCCATCTCCTCATCATTCTTATCCTATTTTTTTCCTTTATTGTTGTTTGTTATCTTTTAGATTTTTATTTTTATGTTCATAACTAATCTAATGTGTGTTTTGATTTCAGTTGTTAGTGGAATGGACGAGATAAGCTTGCAAAATAGAGTTTATGAGTGAAAAGATAAGTATATTTATTTGTCCAAATTCGATTGGCTTTCTTTTACATATAAAATGTATTTTACATATGATTATTTCTGCTTCTTTTTGTTATTCTTGTTATGATAACTGTTTCTATTATTTTCAATTCCCAACACTCTTGTTATCCCATTGTTTCCTTTTCATTTTTCGTTGTTGTTTTCTTGTTTTACACAACCTATAATTGTATAGCAATTCTTTGATTATATGCGTTTTGTTTGCTTTTTTCTATTAGATTTATTAAATTTTATTTATTTTTTATTATCTTTCTATTGAAATTGTTAAATATCGGAAAGAAAATTTAATTACTTGGAGAGGGAGCAAATGGTTAAATCATGGAAGAAAATTAGGAGCTTGTAGCATGTAAAAGATACTAATAGAATATAAAATTCAAATAGAGTTTAGGGCTTTGGTGGCTTGGGGCTTACGGGCTATTGGACTTATGGGCTTTTGGGGTCTTG